GAAAGGGGATCAGCAACTTTGAAAGCCTGCATATTTACGTTTCCCTTTATTATCAATTTTAAATTTTTAAATTTTATTTTTCTTGCCATTCAGCTTGCCTTAAATAAAAATGACGTCAGTTTATCTTACATGTTTGAGTAAGACATTGACACCTTGCACATAGCTGATTATTTCAACCCTAACTCTAACCATATTATTACGAATTTGATTCACTATTGTACAAGTTAGAAAATATATTGGCGAGTGGTGAGCTAACAAGCAAAACCTTGTCAGATTTTAACCCCTTCAATAGCTTTCATAATACCTAGATACAGGTGAATTATATACTCTAGAAAGCGGTCATTAGAGCATGCCTTGAACACAACTTTTCCATCAATGACTAGTTGAAGAATCAGTTGATCTAAACAGTTCATCAATACCTTTACAAATCTAGGGATCGACTTTAAATTTGTAGTTAAAGTACTTGTAGAGTCTTCTATCGATAATTAAAAAAACTGAATGGAAGCAACAGGAAATGGTGAGATTCGTAATGGAAGACATATCGCTTTAGACATGGAGATTCAGCTATAGACATAACATCTAACTTGTACTCATTCACCTCACAATTTAATCAGTTTTAATAAGAGCTTTAAGTTGTTTTGTTTCTATAAATGATATTTCATAGAACAGTTAACACAATATCTTTAAGTTAGTTGTTGTTTTTATTTCCTATTTAGTAGTGAATGGAAAGACTGTTGGGCGACATATTTAGCCTGGAAAACTTTCCTTTTAATAATTGGAAAACACTACTTGTCTGGCTATTTTGATTTGTTTTGTTTGTTTGATTGGGGTTTACGTCACACCGGCACAGTATAGGCCATATGGGGACGTTCCAGCGTTACTGATGAAGTGCCATTCCGTGAATTATTTCAGGCACGAACGGGCACCTGAGTAGTAAGCTAGCTGGATAGCTTCCTCGCATGAAAGAATCCAACGTCCCTGTCGGGATTCGAACCCACAGCGGTGAGGGCAACTATTTTGAAACAATTTCTCTAAAGACCACACAAACGATTTTTTGTTTGTTTCCCGCTCAAGCTGTTATAACAATGAGTAAAGTTGTACGCTATGCTTCTGTAGATATGCTAAAATATCGGTTATTTTCTATGACATGTATGTGGCGACTTTCTAGGTTTGTGGAGATTGACCTCAGACACAACTTCATACATTACTAGTACATCTAGTATTTCATGTACGTAGAACCACCGACTTTCCATTAGCTCTTTCAGATTAGATACACTGTGAGCATTTTCTAAGAGTATATTAAGTCAGTCATTGAATTGTCAAACGTAAATGATCTGCATGCAACGTTTTCCAATGTAAGCATATTGTCCGGTTGTCGGCTATATATTTTCTATTTAGAAATGCAGTTCTGCTGCAGACTTTGGCACATTTAACATTTCAAATCGACAACATATTCCATGAAATCATAGGTCACTTCAAAATGCTTGTACTAGATTCTAGCGGGGTAAGAGTTTCCAAGTTATAATTCTGCAGTTTGGACCTACTATAAAAAAGAGATTGGCTGTAACAATTCAACATGTTTTTAACATACTGGTGATACAATACTAAGGTAATAGTGTAATTTCTTTGCTGAACAAGTCTATTGAATATGTTTGTCTTTTACGCCCATTTCAACATATTTTGGTCATATCCACCTATCAAAATAACTTCATAGTAATTATTTTGTATCAATTTCTCCGCAAAAAATGGACCAATAATCCCATATGATTTGTGAATCAGTGGTAAGAGACAAATGACCATTAGAACCAATGTCCGAGAAGTACAAAAGGAGTTGGGGTGAACAACGTTGACGAAATTTGATAATTTGTTCATATTTTCAATAAAAACATAGTTTGCTGGTGAAATGCATAGAACATTTCTTTAACACTACGTATAGTCCGTTGCGTTTGTTCTTTATTTCATATTCAATAATTCACTGGATATGAACAAAAGGTCTATAAAAATTATTAGTAATATAGATTGCTTTACGCTTATTAAATTTAGCAACACTTCTTTAAATTGTAAACGATTTTATTTCGATTTTAATCATTTGTTTACAGTTTAAGAAACCAGTTAAATATCAAGTTTAACACGCAATGTTTGACATATTTTTTTCTCAAGGCAAACAGAAAGACATGCAATTACACGAACAAACTAAACGGATAATATATAACTGATTTTTATATATTTATGTCGGAAAATAGCTTATATAGCTAGTGTTATATTTTTACTGTAACCGACTATATCTTAACTGATTTTAAAACATTGTATATATATATATATATATATATATACAAGTTTATCATGTTATACATTGTATGTATGCAAGAAAATGGAAATAGTATTAAGAGGAATTTGCAGATTTGTTTTTACATAAACAATGGGATGCTGTTAAATTAAAAACTTATCAAGAAATGACTTTCCTCAAATATCATTGAAACAAAAAAAAAGTTTAAAATAAAAACTGAACAGAGCATTTTTGCAAAAATATTTACATGCAAATAATAAGGGTATAACACTATATTAAAGGTGCCTCACTGAGGTCCAAAAAAACTAAATTTTGAAATTCTAACTTAGAATAACTGGGGCATTAAAAAGTTAAAACATGCTAGTAAAGATAATATAGATATTTACTCAAAATTGGATTGAAAATTGATTTTTTTCCTGCAAATCTTAGTCAGATTTGAGATAAAATGTATTTTTGGGTCATGTTGCACGATTTTTTTTTAATTATCACAATCATACTTGAAGTGTGATATGATAAAAATAATGTTTAAAAATTTGAAAGAAAATGGACGTTTTTAATGTGTCATCATTACTAAACCCTAGTTAAAACATCAATTGTATAACTTGAATAAAGGAATACATGTACTTTGTTCTTTTAACTTAAGATACATGTGTGTTAATTAACAAAACTCTTCAGAAATGATAAATCTGTTTATTAGTCAGCTGATTGTACCGTTTTTGAATTTGTTTTACAAGAAATTGCATCAGCTGTAGCTTTATAACCCTTTGAACAGTCCTTGTTACAGATAAAAGATACACAATAGATAAAACATGTATCCAATATACAAGTAAGCAATCTAACAAAGCCCAAACTATAGACATATAAAATGATATAAATATATATATCTGACGGTTTACAGATATACATGTACATCAACCAGTATGGCAAATGAAATATAAGAGCACTATCATGCTTCAATACATGTAATTATCAAAATGACAATAAAACCAGGAATATATATATATACATACATGTATACATGTAAATATATATTTCTCTCACACTAAAGAAGGAACTTGTTTGAAATTAGGATAGACCATTCTTGTGTTAAGAAAATACAAATATAAATATTTAACATGTGACTATAATGCAATGTTATAGTTTAACTCCGGATTTTTTTTTACCTAAGAGGGTTTATTTTTTGGTTGGATTTTACATTGCATCAACATAGTATAGACTATATGGTGCATGCCAGCTTTACTGGTTACCCTTCTGTACATTATTTCAGAAAGAAACGAGCATACAAGAACCACCAAGGTTCTGTAAGCTAGCTGAATAGCTTTCTCACATTTAAAATCCCAACTGGTTTGAAATCAACCGCAACCACCTAACTATGGAATTCCCTAATATTGATTGTTATCTCATACATTGGTCATGGTCATTTTAATACATGTGAATTAGGTTCTCATTCAAATCTGCAAAGGGTCACACAATTAACTCTTAGCCTACTGGTGGCAAATGAATTCACCCATGTGATTAGTGACACTAAAGTCAACAGGTACATACATGCCATCTGCAGTAGTTGCTATTTAAGTCAGTACATATTTTGAATTTTCCTCTGAAAGGAATGGTTTTTGTCCAGATGGCCAGGTCCATTTAAGTTTATCAGTGTAATTACGGTTAAAAGGGGTGAACAACACAGACAAGATAGTAATTGTATGCACTTTTTCTTAATACAGGGTTGCATATTTGATTTATTTGTATCAAACAACATACTTTGATAATCAAATAAAAATAAATATTCTTAACAAAGAATATTTTAGTACAATTGTATATAATTTTGAATATTTAGATCTGAGACAAAGCTAACACTTTAAAATCTTTAAAAGTTATAATCCTTCCATTGCTTGACAATGAGAACTGGCCTTCATTAGATCTTATATATTAATTGATATTAAGTTAACCATATTACAGCACTCACAATGAATACAGATTTATGTTAAGAGCAATACCCTGGTACAACCATGAAATCTGGTAATAATATAACAATTGAAATGGGAACCTTTAAGGTTGAACCATCACAAAAGAAATTTAATCTTTCAAGCTTGGTTGGCTGAGTTGTACATCTCACCATCACAGAAAAGGTCATATGGTGACTTTCCAGCTTTAATTTTAGAGGAAGACCTCAGGTGCCCTTCAAAGCATTCTTTCAAGCAAACACAAACGGGCACCTCAGTAGAACAACCAATGTCCCATAAGCTAGCTGCATAGATCACATAACAGAGTCAGGATTCAAGTCCACAGCAGTGACAGGTAAGTGATTTAAAATCAATGAGCTAAACCAGGAGGCCACATACACCCTCATACTCTTGCAAGCTTGGTTTGACTTAATCAAGGATAATATTAAATGAGACAGCATATATATACAAGTATGTAGCAATAATTATATAATAGTTTCCTTTCATTTAATACACTGTCCATATCAGGAAATTTCACAGTTTTGAGAAAAAAATTATAATGACAAATATATAGTATAACTTCATGTAATCAATTACAGTAAGTTTGTCTTAAATATAGTAAGTCTGCCTTCACAAATAAACCTTACAAGCAGGGCAAATAATTCTTATAGTGTTTACTACACTAACATATTTGTGAGCAAATCAGAAAATATTGCTTATACTTTTGTTTGTGGTAATGGGATATCTTTCTCCTAATTTTTAGGTTACTCACATATAGATAGTTCAATGCTAGTTTCTTTAGTGTAATCAGATGACCACTGTTCAATGCTTTGCCTATTTTTAATGTTTTATTGTATACATGAAACTGGTAAATGAGCATTAATCATTCTCAAGTATTTTTGAACGATAAACTTATCCTTCATTTTTCACATATAAAGTAACAAATATTTTCAAATATCAGAGTCAGCATAATTACACACATTCCAAATTGTGAAAAAAATCACCATCACAAACCACAGATTTGAATCTGAAAAAACTCTGGAACTTGAATGAAATCTTTCTCTGTCTATAAGATAATTAAAATAATTTATTTATAAATGTCAAATAATTTATGTACTAAGTCATATTTAAGGTCCTGCTATACAAGAATAGTGTCGTCCATTTGATCTGTTGGGGATTCTGGCTGACTTGCGATCTTTCTCAGCGATTTTGTCATTACTTCTTGCACAGAGTCCTGCATTCCAGAGTCTAACATCGCAATCACAGTCTGCAATGTAAATATATATCATTTAATATAATCTTTTAGTTATACAAATTTATTTTAGTTTGATTGAGTTGGAAGCTGTAAGCTTATTGAAACACTCTCGAATCTGTTTCTGGAACCAACCAGTACTGAGCAATGAATGTAAAGTTTCTTGCTCAAGGAAACAAGGGCTTGCCCCTGACAGGGTTTGAATCCACGCGGTCAGAAATCCTTAGATTACTAGTCTGATGCGTCAACTACTCAGCCACGCCGCTACTCTAATATATATAATAATCTATATGGCAAATGAGTTTTTTTTGGAACCTGTTGCAAGATACCAAAAATAAAATGTTTCGAGAAAATAAAAAATGGTAGCATTTCTGAGGCAGAATCGGCCTTTAAACTAACAAAAGAGAATATCAAAACTCACCTTATAGTAAGAATCGCCTTTTCTAAGTTGTAATAGAGAGACTAATGCATGTTCCGAGTTAGTTCGTACAACAGTGTTCTTCTCCTTAGTTCCCATCACCAGTGGTGAGACCATCATTTTACATACCCCAGGGTCTAACGCCTCCGTTGTTTTTGACATTATATATGACACGATCTGTCCGATCATTTGTTTTATGTCGTTTGAATCATGTTTTAAACCCTGGAAACAAAGTTAAGAATTGTTACATACAACTATAATCATGTATTAAAGATTTTACCTGAATATTTTATAGAAGTCAGATGCTATTAAGTTACATGATTTTTGTTTGTTTGTTTTGGGTTTTACGTCCTTGAGTAGTTTTGAAAATACCAACTTGCATGCAAAAAATTTACTAAAGTGATATGCCGGCACCTGGGTGAGTACAAGAGTTCTCCTTATTGTTTTGTCGAGCTTAAAAGTAACAATGGTCAGTTCCGAACTAAATACAGGACAATTTCATTACATAAGTTTAGCAAGGTAAGGAATTTAATTCAATTACAAATAATGTATGAAATAATTCATAAATCTTACAGGTGCCCTTCCAAGGTTTTTTTTTTAAGCACAATGAGTAGAACCACCGACCTTTTGCATGCTAGCTCGATAACATAATAAACACAGGTGTCTCTTGTAATAATCTTGTAAAAAAATTACTAAAAAATTTTTTTCAAGTAAAATTCATTATCTAATCGTTCCAAATAACTTAGTTCAATCACACACTCAATGTCATTCAGAAAATAAACACTTCACTTCTAAATACATCAGTTTCCTAGTGTTAATTTGTTCCAGAGCACCATTAACAAGATAATTACCACACATCTGATCTACTCACTCCACTTCAACATCAAAAACAGCAGCCAAAAATAAAACTACTATGTTCTGTTTTTGTACCATCTAATATAATGTGTTTGTTTCATCCCAATATAAACATTTATAAATATACTACATTTATCTATAAATAGACCGTACAACTACACTACAAACAGTGGTATTTATACAAAGTTAGGTTCTACAGGTAAGTATTTTTATTTCTCAGATAAACTTGTATTAAAACAATATCTATGAGCCGCATCACGACGAAACCAACATAGTGCGTTTGCGACCAGCATGGATCCAGACCAGTTCAGTTGTTATGCTTTCTTCTGCACGGATGAGCAGGCTGGTCTGGATCCATGCTGGTCGCAAACACAATATGTTGGTTTTGTTGTGACGCGGCTCATATATGATAAATACATGATATGATGGTGGTGGTGGTAGTTTTCACTCTGGATCACGACAGTAAGCCACATTGAATTCACCAGAACACAGTTCAGCCACCAAATCGTTCCTGGGCAGGCTGTCAAACATTTGACAAGTACCAGTTGCCTTCACTTTCTCAAGGAACTGATTACTTCTTTACATGCAAGAGCAGAGGTATGTAAATGACCATAAAAAGGATTTCATGATCAATGCCAAAGAAAGTGACCTGCACCGTCTGGGAATCAATTCATGATCACCTAATTCACAGTCCAACGCTTTCATCTATTTAGCTAACTGAACAGTATTATAAATTCATCATATGCAATCAGGCTGGCCTTACTTAACAATACTGATCAAACTAGAAATGTGTCCATAAGAAATTGATGCCCCCACATTTCACTGATTTGTCAGACTATGGATGGACAATGGTGAACCTATATACACTCCAACACACCTCCTCCCCCACCCAAAAGAATTGTGAGCATAACAACCGACTATTAAAAGGTTGTCCCGAATGATAAATACATCCTTAATGTATGTGTGAAATAATTACCTTCATTAGTGAAGTGATAAGGTCTTTCTCTATTTCATTTTGTTTTATAAGATAGCTTAATAAATAACCTAGGCATCTGTATCCACTTGTACATAAAGGTATCTGAAACGTAAATATATATACAAATTAATCAATAAAACAATTAGACAATCTAATTAATACAAACTAATTAGTGATTAACGTAAAATTTGAGAGCTTGTCTGTGGGAGTATTCCCCGTCTCATTCACTGATCTGTGTAGACAGGACAAGTAGCTAGACATTCAAGTGCCGTTATTTTTTTGCTTCCTTGGAGGCAAGTTCAGTTTATTGGCATTTTAATACAGGGTAATTAAGTTGGATAAAGCAATAAACCTTCATACAACATATGCCGCCATTCACAGTTACACTTAATGTTGCAGTACATTTCTTGTAAACAACGATATAATACTGTGATATACTTGATTTTATGGGCGAGTTCTAACGGTATAGCTGGTTGATCAAAGAACATAAGAAAAGCTGGTGACCTTTTAAATGATATCAAAGTAACACTGTGATTGTGTAATAACTTGTCAATATTGTACTTATCCCAGCTTGTACCTGCTAAATGGTATATATAACCTTGGTAACAATGAATCATTCAAATATAAACAGATGTAACAGGTCTCCTTCACTTTACTCTATAGACTACAGGGACCTCGCTTTAATCTAGACTATAGGGTCCTAACTTAACTCTTTTCTTTTCAGTGTTCAAAATTAATGTCCGCTATTGCTGGGTTTTTTTTATGTGTTTTGCTAAATGGTGCACTGAGACAATGTCATGATTGTAACACAGAAAAAAAAGATAATCTTGAACAAAATAATTTAGTCAAAGATGGTATTACTGTGTCGAGAAATAGTAAAATAATAGCAAAAATAACAGTTTATGTTAGAAAAATTTGTCAAGTGAAATTGTATTTAACAGTTGATGTAGAGAGTTTACTTGAAAATTTGTATGGAATTAATACTTACTCTATCAGCTTCAGTTAGATTAATTACGGTTTTTCTAACATTATCCGACCTTCCGGTCCATATTTTGTCTGGTGCCTCTTTTATTGCTATACTTAACGCTGTCCCTCTACCATGTCTTAACGTCCAGTCTACAGACGAGCTCGTATCTAATTATACATCAAATAAAAACATCAATTATATATCAAATATTTTAATGTGTAATACATATATTTGCAAGTGTTTTTTGTTTTTTTTGCTTTTGGAGTTTTTTTTAAATTTATAACCAATTTTAATACATTTTTGGTCTAATCTCAATGGTTAATCAACCAAACCAGCTTACTTGGATATGTCAGCAGTAATTACCATATTCTCCACAATGCCAGGCTGCTTATACCATATGATTTCTGATTCAGTGGCGAGGGACCAAATGGTCAAATGATGAATAAAATGCTATTATCTAGTTGGTTTTTTCAATTGTTGGGTTTAATGTGGCACCAACACAGTGTAAGTCATACTGAGATTTTCCAGCTTTACTTGTGGAGAAAATTTCTGGTGTCCCTCCATAAATTATTTCAGTCACCTGTGTAGAACTATTGATGTCCTGTAAGCTAGCTGGATAGCTTCCTCACATGAAAGAAACCAAAACCCTGTCCCACTTCAAATTAACAACCTTGAGGGGGAAAGTGGTTTGAAGTCAACAATCTTAACTACTCTGCCAAAGATCTAGTCATGAAATTTCAATATTTAAATTTATCATTTAAAATACAACAATCATTCAAACAATATCATATATCTTTGAACATACCAAGTAACTGTTGAGATAATAAATCTGTAAGTTCATCATCGGCCAGGGACAAACACAGTACACCGACACACCCAGATGCCACCATACGTGTAGAGTCATCCGTACATCCCATCATGTCAGTAAGTGTAGGCGTCAGTTGTTTACGATTAACTGCTGACATCTTCCCTCCAGCACCCATTAAACAAAACCTTAATGCCTGTAACATCGTGTCCCTGTTGGTAAACAATAAAATCATCAAAAGTTCCTTTGAGTTATAAGAAAGAAGAATAATCACTATCAAATGCTTTTTTATTGCTTTATTACCCTAAAATATTACACTTCATGTCTTACATATATATAACTAAAAAGGTGTATTTTCATGGAAAAAAAAACAAGAGGGCCAAGATGGCCCTAGATAGCTCACCTGACCCATCGTACTCATCCGAGCAATTACTTAGACAAGCATTCTAACCCAGTTTGATGACAAATAAGTGAAAAATGTGAACTCTTACGAGTGTTAACAAGGTTTTTCAATATTTGGGCAGTGTGACCTAGTTTTTGATCCCATTTGACCCATATTAGACTTAACCTAGAAATCATCAAAATAAATTTGCAGACCAATTTCCAGGATATTTGGATCAAATCTGCCGCCACTAGAGTATTAAAGCTGCACGCCTCCAGATGAGCAAAAATATTTCGATAACATCAAACCTGAGAAAAATGTACTAAGATTTTAGGAAAGGTATAAAGATTCAAAATTCTAGTAAAAATTCACATGTTAAGTGCAATTAATGACCGATTGTTTCAGTATTTATAACCATATTTATACTGCGTTACTAACACAGTAAGGGCTATTTTTGCATATTTTGACCTCTTTATAGTAATTTATATAGGTTATAAGTGCCATTGATAATGTGTAAATTGCCTTTCTTTGGTAACTTAACAATTTTATACAGTCAAATACATTTTCAAAATTTCAAGAAAATTAGCATGAATGTGGAGGTGTGCTGCTTTAACAAGATTTTTCTATTTTTAGCACCTGTGACCTAGTTTTTGAACGAAGATGACCCATATATAAACCTGACCTAGAAATAATCAAAACAACCGTCCTGATCAATTTCCACAATATTACTAGAGTTTTAACAAGATTTTTCTATTTTTAGCATCTGTGACCTGGTTTTTGACCAAAGATGGACCATATAATTATGAACTCGACCCAGAAATCATCAAAACAACCTTCCTGATCAATTTCCAGGATATTTGGATCAGAACAGATATTCTTAGAGCTAAATAGTAAAACAAATGCATGGATAATGTAGAATTTCCTATATTATAGAGCAATAATTCTGTCAAAATTTCTATTAGTTACGGGCCTTGGTCAGTGGCCTCAAATAAGTTTCAATCCATTCCCTTGAGTACTTTTGGAGATACAATTCTTCACATCAAACAGTGAGTGAGTACAATAACTCTCTGTATTTTTTGGAAAAGTTGAGCTAAAAACTACCAAAAAGTATAGAGGCAGGTGAAACTGCTTAGATGTGCAGACTGGACTGGTTCTATACAACAAGCAAAGGCCTGAATTAGGCCTGAATCCCTTACTGCTAAAAAATGACAATTTGTCTTAAGTGAATGCAAACTATTGGACAAGTACTGGACAGGGTGTTAACCAAATCCAATAGAGGGGTTTTCAGCAGTGTAGAGTCCAGTAGAATCAGTATTGGACTCAACAATGTATACATTATTCACATTGAGTAAATCAGAAATCCCTGTGCATATAGATAAATAAGAAATTACATTGTATGTTTAAATGTTTTTATCTTATTATTACCTTGTAGTCTGACTGACTTTAAAAATATAAATATTGTTTTAATAGCATTTATCTTCATAATGCTGTATTCATGAACTTTTAATTAATGTTTTAATTTGTGCATTCCTATCATTATATCAGTAAAATTTCTACATTTTGGGGTTCATTCATTATATATCATGATTGAATTCCATAAAAGAAGATGAAAAAGTGAAAAAGTTAATCAGTGTATAAAATTATACCACAATTCATAGTGTAATAGAAGAGAATTTCTGTTCAATTTTCTATTCATTATTATCCAACACAATTATATCAGTGTCATTATTATACAGTAATTTACTTTCATTGATAGTTTTATGTAACAATATAGCATCAATCAATTACAAAAATACTGTAATTATGATTGTGTGGAAAGTGAATTACTATATAAAGTTCCCTGTGGGCAATATCAAATTTGGATTAATAAACAATCTCCTCCCATTAAACCAGTGAACTGTGAGATGAATGCAGGAATACAGTACATGTATGAATACAGTATATTTTTAAGATAATTTTCTTAATAAAAACTTTTAAGCAAAGACAAGATAATCTTAATTATTTGTATTAGAATATTTTGGGGTTCACACTGCACATATGGTGCCTGTCTATGATGGCTGATTTACTATACATGTTGTATTTTCGCCAAAAAACAAAGGAGGGTGAAAATACGACACATAAAACTGAATTTTTTATACTGTATGGTCTAAGTGAAACAAGAGGGCCATGATGGCCCTAGATCACTCACCTGACCCATCAAACTCATCCGGGCAATTACCTAGACAAGCATCCTGACCAAGTTTGATGATAATTGAGTCAAAAATGTGACCACTGAGAATGTTAACAATGTTTTTACATATTTGGGCAGTGTGACCTAGTTTTTGACCCCAGGTGACCCATATTCCAACTTTACCTAGAAATCATCAAAACAAACTTTCAGACCAATTTACAGGATATTTGGATCAAAACAGTAGCCACTAGAGTGTTCATCCGAGATGACCCATGTTCGAACTCATCTGAGCTATCAACTAGATTAGCATCCTGACCAAGTTTGATGATGATTCAGGCAAAAATGTGACCGCTAGTGTTAACAAGGTTTTTCTATTTTTAGCTCCTGTGACCTAGTTTTTCATCCGAGATGACCCATGTTCGAACTCATCCAAAAAATGACCTAGACAAGCATCCTTACCAAGTTTGATAATAATTGAGTCAAAAAATGACCCATCTTCGAACTTGACCAAGAAATCATCAAAACAAACATTCAGACCAATTTCCAGGATATTTGGATCAAAACAGTGTAGCAACTAGAGTGTTAACAAGTTTTTTTCTATTTTTAGCTCCTGTGACCTAGTTTTTGACCCGAGATAACCCATCTTCGAACTTGATCTGTACTTCATTGAGACAAACATTCTGACAAAGTTTGATGATACAATCAAAACTGTGACTGCTAGACTGTTGACGACGAACAACGCCGGACATAGCCTCATCACTATACCTCACCTTGACCACTTCGTGGTGAGGTGAGCTAAAAATAGAGCAACAAAATAAGACTCTTTTTTTATATATTTATCAAAGTTTGGCTTCTTATAAAAGTAATTAGCTTATAGCCTGTCGGAACTGAAAGTAACTTGCTTTTCCCACCAGTATAGAGCCAGGCTAGCCTGCATATATGTGTAGTAATCAGGCTCTATAATGTTTGCTGAATCAATTTCAACTTTATTTTTTTCTTGATAACCCTAAAACTGATAGTGGACATACCCAACATGGAAGCCAGGCAAGTCCACTTAAGAAATTCAGCGGGTAAATTCCTAGGGTAAAACTAATGAACTAATGAAATTACCTGACACTGATATCTTCAGCTGTTTTGATGCCAGTATGTAACTCGGTAAATAAAGGATCTACCCTAGTATGTATCACTATAAGTTTGCCTAAAGCTGCCGCTGCCTTCAGTCTTACAGCTCTGTTTGGGTCATTCAAAGCTTTCAAAAACGTTGTTTGGAGTTGCGGTAAAAATGGTTTTAGCATCACTCCTACCTGTTTCAGAAAAAAGAAAATATTTTCATATATAATTGTTATGCCCAACTAAATATCTTATGGAACAAATAACTGACATGAAATACCTTTGGTATTGACAGCTTTTATACACTGCTAATTCCAGGAGTAAGAAATTTATCATTGCATCATTTAACCCTGGTGTAAATGGGTACCCGAGAGGATGGAATTTATTGACAGAGCCCATAATGTTGACGGCGAGTTGCCATAAGCACATTAAGACTATCAAAGTAGGTCTATAAATGGCTTCTTGTAGCTCAATGACCATGGGTAAAGCTGTAGTCAGTGAATCTGCCCCCATTGCTTGATACTATCCACTGGAGACTAAAAAATATCTTTACTTTTACTTCTTTTACAATATACATACTAATTAAAATAGTATAATAAATATATGTCACCCTTCTCTATCCAGTCTCTTTCAAAGCTTTCGATTTTAATGGAAATATACTTTTTATCCAGTCTCTTTTAAAGCTTTCGATTCTAAGGGAAATATACTTTTTATCCAGTCTCTTTTAAAGCTTTCGATTCTAAGGGAAATATACTTTTTATCCAGTCTCTTTTAAAGCTTTCGATTCTAAGGGAAATATACTTTTTATCCAGTCTCTTTTAAAGCTTTCGATTCTAATGGAAATATACTTTTTATCCAGTCTCTTAAAGCTTTCGATTCTAATGGAAATACACTTTTATCCAGTCTCTTCTAAAGCTTTTGATTCTAATGGAAATATACTTTTTATCTCGATTCTAATGGAAATATACTTTTTATCTCGATTCTAATGGAAATATACTTTTTATCTCGATTCTAATGAAAATATTCTTTTAATCTCGATTCTAATGGAAATATACTTTTTATCCAGTCTCTTTTAAAACTTTGATTCTAATGGAAATATACTTTTTATCCAGTCTCTTTTAAAGCTTTCGATTCTAAGGGAAATATACTTTTTATCCAGTCTCTTTTAAAGCTTTCGATTCTAAGGGAAATATACTTTTTATCCAGTCTCTTTTAAAACTTTGATTCTAATGGAAATATACTTTTTATCCAGTCTCTTTTAAAGCTTTCGATTCTAAGGGAAATATACTTTTTATCCAGTCTCTTTTAAAGCTTTCGATTCTAAGGGAAATATACTTTTTATCCAGTCTCTTTTAAAGCTTTCGATTCTAAGGGAAATATACTTTTTATCCAGTCTCTTTTAAAGCTTTCGATTCTAATGGAAATATACTTTTTATCCAGTCTCTTAAAGCTTTCGATTCTAATGGAAATACACTTTTATCCAGTCTCTTTTAAAGCTTTTGATTCTAATGGAAATATACTTTTTATCTCGATTCTAATGGAAATATACTTTTTATCTCGATTCTAATGGAAATATACTTTTTATCTCGATTCTAATGGAAATATACTTTTTATCCAGTCTCTTTTAAAACTTTGATTCTAATGGAAATATACTTTTTATCCAGTCTCTTTTAAAGCTTTCGATTCTAATGGAAATATACTTTTTATCCAGTCTCTTTTAAAACTTTCGATTCTAAGGGAAATATACTTTTTATCCAGTATCTTTTAAAACTTTTGATTCTAATGGAAATTTACTTTTTATCCAGTCTCTTTTAAAGCTTTCGATTCTAATGGAAATTTACTTTTTATCCAGTCTCTTTTAAAAACTTCAATTCTAATGGAAATGTACTTTAACAACAACTTACCTTTGAGAGTAAGAGAGTAAGTGTCTCTAACACGGCTGTTTTTACACCCCAGGCAAATCGGTCACCGAGAATTCTAATAAGTGGACCGGTAATATTAACTACCGACGGTTTTAAAGCCTCGGCACTTGTTTTCTCAATCAGCTCCCCGAGAGCAATGGCGGCTTGTTCCTTCATATCTTGAGAACCGTTTAAAATTCCCTCTCTGAAGATTGGCAACACCGGTGTTATACCCTGTAAACAGAACAAAATACCGACTTTTATATATCATTAAACTAAATCTCCCATACAGAGGTATGTTTCATTAAAGTACAAGGGCTCTTGCAAGATGTTTTAACCAAGCTTTGAAGTTATCAACATAGAATGGACAAAACGATGAGTCTACATTGTGGTGCGATTATGGGCTATACAAATCAACATAAAGGCTCATAATGTTACAGTATTTGCTTTTTTAAAGTGATTAAAAAAACAATTTTGAACATAGACTTATGGGATTAAAAAGATAATTTAAAAGCATACACAATTAATCCTCAGAAAAAATGTTTTAAAATTGTCAACGAATACTGAAGACCACATATAAATTCCTAGTTTTGAGATAACACCACAAAATTCCTAGGGTATGTTCCTAAACTGCTGAAAGAATTTTTTTTTTAGTTGTGTTTTACGATTTTATATCGCACTAACACTAAGGTCATATAGCCAGAAATAATTTTATGGAGGGGCACTTGTGGTCTTCAGTACAAAGCTAAAAGAAAACCTGATATAACAAACTTGTCACCTTTTTGGGGATACTGAAGCCCGGTAATTCCTGTCCTTTCATATCAGCCGCAGCATATCTTATTGCCTGACGTACATTCTGTATATGATTCTGTGTCTGATCTAACATAGCTGTCGTGTTCAATTTCTGAATTATACACAAAATGTCAACTTGTACATGTTGTATTCTTTTTTGTATTATCCATTCAATGGAACAGCCTAAACTTATAAATTTACATATACAGGTACACTGTTCCCTTAACCAGGAAATATAATTATATTATATTTTTTTCTTTAACAACATTTCAAGAAATCTTAGGTAGTTAATTACAATTTCCTTAGCAACACAATTTTAACTTTTTAAAAAAGATTATTCAGTTACAACTTGCATTGAACTCTCTAACTGCACATTAGGGACAAGTGTTTTAATGACAACTCAGGTAAGACATACAATGGTTTCTGCTAGCTGATTAATTCCCATAAACACTGTCATATTGAGAATTCCAAACTACAGATGTTACGTGACTTTTAATACCTTTTTTAAGCAGTGTTCCAGGTGTGAGAAGGTATCAAAATAGAACCACCAAATGTTTTTGTACATTAAGCAACATATAAACTATAGCTTCCTTTTACAAATAAATTTTTTCATTCATGGTAAGGTCTGAACCAAACTCACAGAAATAAAGAAATAGGTATTCAAAATAATTCACAGATTTATAGTACAAAGAGTTCCTCATCACTGTTGACTATGTGTTACCTTAGTAACAGCATTCAAACATTCCCAGGCTGCTAACAAGACTGGCTCCTCCTTCCTCACAAACTGACCAATCAGACCACGGAACAACTGTGGCAGGAACTCATCATAGTCTATCCTAGTGTTCTCACAGAACGCGTGTAGGATGGTGAGCGAGGCTCGGCACCTGTCAGGATCCTTCGATGCCGACGCGCTCAGCAGCTCCTCCATGATGGTACGAACCCCAAAATCATCTTCAACTGACAGCACTACATTCTTACAATACTCTAACTCCTGTAACAAAATGGAAAGAAAATTATATAACAAGAAGTTTTTTTTTGTTGATTTTTTTATGAGGAAGAGATTTCATCAGCAAAGTGTACAATTTCATGGCCAATTTATAACACAAATTATTTTTATAACTGCTTTCATCTATTTGCATGAACACTTCGCTATACAACTTACTGTATGAATTTCAATATTGTAATGTTTAACTCTTGCAAGATATTAAGGGCTACAAAATCAACTTCATCAAGTTTCCTTCCTTCTAGCTGGTTCTTATTTTCCCAACAACTACATAAAATGACCAAACTTTTTTCAAATATAATACCCCCACCCCTTTAATATCTACTAAACTTTCAATGAATAATTTCAAAATTTAATACAGTAAGCATAAAAACAGCACTTACTTGAGGTTCTTCCGCAGTACCTGCTTTCTCACTGAGTGCAGACATGAGAGCAGGTAGAATTCTAGGCAGATGTTTAGTCAGGGCCTCGCCAGATACTGATGCTAGATAGGATAGGGCTCGAGTATTAACTGGAGGTGTTGTCAACTGTGAATATTATAAATAATGTTTCAAATATATACAATGCATAATTTTATTATTTGAACTGGAGCTTGGATATGGTTAACAAACAAGAGCTGTCGGTAGGACAACAACGACCGACTATTCTTAGTGCTTGATAGCAAAAAAGCCTTGATAATGTAAAATTTTCGAAGTAAAAAAAAGGGCAAAATTGTTCTTTAAATCCATATTACAGTTATAGGCCTTAGAGACAGTCCTATTAAGCTCTCAAACAAGAGAATAAAATTTCAACTTGTTTATATGTCAATAGACTTTGAAAATATTTGAGGTATTACAAAACTTTAAAGAAAATTCTAAGTCGAAAAAGGGGCATAATTCTGTCAAAATGCTTGATACAGTTACCTCCTCCTGTCTACAGGTTAGGTTCATGATGGTGAACAAGTGTACAAAGTTTCAAAGCCATATGTCAATGGACTTTGAAAATATTTGAGGTATTACAAAAACTTTAACGTAAATTCTAAGTCAAACAAGAGCTGTCACAGGAGACAGCCAAGCTCGACTAATAAAATACTGGACGCAGTAAGGAGGACAAAACTATGAAAGAAAAAACAATTATGTATAATTATGTATTAAGTTATAGTAAAAAAATATCCTTTGTTAACATAAATTCCAAGATCAAGGGGAATAATTCTAGACTAAGTCATGCTAGAGTTATGAACCTTTCACACAACATGTGTGTAATGACAAGAAATATATATTTGAAGTTTGAAGTAGATACCTTAAAAAGTAAAGAAGTTATAATATTTCTTAAAGAAAATCCTAAGTTCAAAGAAAGATAAATCTGTAAATATTGCTTCAAGAGTTACGAACATTGTCACATAAAATGTAATTGATGATAAGGAATAAGTATTTGAAGTTTGAGGTAGATACCTTTAACACTAAAAAAGTAAAAAATAACATTTTTCTAGTAAAAAAATCTAAGTTTATGGGGAGATAATTCTTGCAATATTAGTGCTAGAGTTATGAACCTTGCCACATAAGATGTGGATGATGATAAGTTACATATATTTGAAGTATGAAGTTGATCCCTTTAGAAATAAATAAGTAACAGTAAAAAATAGTATTTTTTAAGGAAAATTCTAAGTTCAAGGGGAGATAAATCTGAAAATATTTGTGCTAGAGTTATGAACCTTGTCACATAAGATGGGGATGACGATAAGGTACATATATTTGAAGTATGAGGTTGATCCCTTAAGAAATAAAGAAGTAACAGTAAAAAATAGTATTTTTTAAGGAAAATTCTAAGTTCAAGGGGAGATAAATCTGAAAATATTGGTGCTAGAGTTATGAACCTTGTCACATAAGATGTGGTTGATGATAAGGAACATATATTTGAAGTTTGAAGTTGATATTTTAAGAAATGACAAAGTTATAGTGAAAAATATTTTACTGCACCAAAACTTTAATCTGAAATCTGGACGCGGACGCCGACGGCGACAGCTATCCATATACTTCGTATAGTCGAGCTAAAAAGGGGCATAATTCTGTCAAAATGCTTGATACAGTTACCTCCTCCTGTTTACAGGTTGGGGTCATGATGGTGAACAAGTGTGCAAAGTTTCAAAGCCATATGTCAATGGACTTTGAAAAATATTTGAGGTATTACAAAAACTTTAACATAAGTGGTTACGCCAAAGCAGACGCTCGGGTGACTACAATAGCTCTACTTATTCTTATCGAATAGTCCAGATAATAAAACTGAATTCAACATCAATGTAAAAATTTTTATAAGGGTGGGATATGCTCAGAGCAATACTAACAAAAATACTTTAAATTCTCAGACTCTGTTTTATCAAGTTTATTTATAAGATATCATGAGTTACATCTCCTTGGTAACATTTATCTTTTAATAATAAACAAAAACTGTTTTTAAATACACAGACAGTTATATCCCTTATATATAAATCATCAAAGATTCTACTCTGTAATAATGATTTACTGATAAACATGAACAAAACTATTCCTGTAGTTGCCTCAGATTGTTTGAGAATGGGTAAAATGTTGTTAAAAAAGATTATCTATACATATACAGTCAAACCAGTGGTAAGGACCACCTCCAATTAAATATCATTCTGTGGATAAAAACCATTTTTAACAACGGTCCATTGATTTAATAGAACAGAATACCTCCTCCCCAAATTAAGACCACTTGTCTGTAAAGGCCAGTTTTAGTCTCGCCATAAGGTGGCCTTATTTCACAGGTTTGATTGTAATACATTACCAAATTCTTTCAAAACACAATATTATAGAGACATAAAGAAGATGACATTTTAAAATATAAGGAAGAAAAACAACTATAATACCTGTGGGACAAGATAAGGCAGGACTACTCTACTTTTAACTATCATAACTTGTGTAAGACCGTCTAATGCTCTCTCTGATAATTCTGGATCATCTCCCTGTAATAAATTTGTATTATATATATTACATACATGTGCCCTTATCCAAATTACTATAAATACAACATTGAAAGCTTTAAGTACAACCTCATTGGATTAAAGCACAAATTCCGACATCTTCATTTTTTTAGTTAATACAGGATTTATCTTAGTTTGATTGTGTTGGAAGCTAAAAGCTTATAGACACACTCTCCAGTATATTCCTCAAAGTGACCAATGAGTGTAAAGTTTCTTCATCAAGGAAATGATGGCTTGCCTGTGACCGGATAGATGTTTATGCTCAGTGGTGTAGAGTATGTTGTTTATATGACTGTATGTAACAGGATGTCAGAGCAGGGCTTTCATGATGAATTTTACAATTTCTGTTATAAATATAATATGTATGTAATATTATAATCAAGCTGCATAGAAGTAAATCACAATGCCATCATATGTTTAGGAAACTACCAGGATCGATTGCACTTGGTCAATTAAATATCGAAGAGAAAAATAAATATAATACCTACCAATTTATTAAGAAGATCTGGTAGAATATCATCGAGAGCTCTCTGTCCGATATTTGTATGTAAACCATCAAACGTACTGGCGGCTGCTTCTCGAACTTCTGGTAAAGGATCCACCAGGGCGCGCTTCACGGTCGGTATTAGACTGTCTGCATAGAACATCACCTGGGTAACAGAACAATCCATTTACTAGACATACATATAAAATAGGTCGATTCAATTCTTTTCAAAGGTGGCTACAATCGATAATTATTGAAGAACTTGAAATAAACACTTTTAAAGCATCATCAAGTTTTGCCTCAATAGTGCAGAAAAGTTTAATGGAGCTCAGAAAGGCACCTCTTTACCTGCAATGTTATAAGTACTGTTTAACTATACTTTTTTAATAACCAATATGTTTTATTAATATTTGTGTGTATTGGCTGGCGCCTTATAAACTCAATCAAGTTTTGTCATTTGTCGTTTACTAACATGATCTTTCTGTGTAGAAGACATTATCTCCCTCAGTCCGATACACACTCCCTGTCTCTGATCACTCTGTTCCGAGTCCAAGCCATGCTCCAATATAGGTATAATCTCCGGTAACACTCGCTCTCCTAATTTACGTACCAAGTCACCCAGTGTACGAGCTGCAACCTGAATACACAATCATCATTATTGCAAGTACTTGAATTTATTTTTATTGGGTTGGATTTTTGTAAGTCACACAAACACTGAAAAGGTCAAGGTAATACATTCCAGCTGTTCAAGCAGAAAAATAAAATAGGTGTCCCTAAAAGTCTTATTTTAGGCACAAACAAGCACCTGTATAAATTTATAATTCAAAAATATTTCCTCAGCTATAATTCACAGACGCCATTAGTCCAGATGATATTGACTGTTCACAAACATTACTGGAAAATATAGCACTGTCAACACATATATCTTAGATATGCAATTTCATAAAGCTAATAAATTTTGATAATTTATTTGTAATTCTGGACCAGATTTACATTTAAGTCAAAACATAATTCATTAAAAGTAAGCAATTTAGAAGTAAACATACATACCTGTCTTTTATCATGACTAGTGCTGGCCAAACAACCCAGTAAAAGAGAAAATAATGTAGACAGAATTTCTCGTAAGGTACGGGGTGTATTTGGCACAATAACTTTCCAAACGTGTAATGCAGCCTGTCGTACGAGGAGGGCGGAGTCTGACCGACCCATATAAAGTCCCGATAAGATACGATTGCGACATTCTGAGCCCAGGATCTTGTGTATAAGCTGTTGGGATGATTCTGTACCGAAGTTGTCATCCTCGCCTGCACTCTCCGTGGACATTTTACCTGACACACCTGAAATATATTAACAATAAATTTTATTATTCTTCACCAGTCCTGTTTTTTGCATCATATAACTGCTTCTGATCTGTAGTGTGTCGCTGTTAAATAATCTATTGATATTTACCTGGTACACAAAAAATAGTAAATACATATACATTTGTATATTACCATAGACTCGTATACTATGTTCAATTCAAAGACAACTTTCCCTACAGAGAGATACACCTATCTATTTTCACGGCTCAAAATCATATTATAATAATGCAGAATAAACTATGATCATTTAATCTGTTATAACCTGAACAAAGGTAAATACATTTCTAAAACATAATCATACCCTTTTAGGAAACTATTTTACATTTCAGCCTAAACTGGTTGGTCTAAAATGAAATGGTAAGAAGAATAAAAGAAAACATAAGTGGACTAATTGTAGCAGCAGGGCATATGTAAGTGAAATATTGGTAACCTACTGTTTCCGGTCCACCCATTAATACTGTAATATACAGCTATATATATACCATACCCTCAAGTCTACAACACACTGATCACTTTACAATTTACATAACAGTTTAACAACAAAAAACATTGGCTTTAAATCTTGTCACAAGAAAAAATCATAAACTCAGACCAGAAAATAGAATAGAATCAAAAGTGACAGACATTTTTACATGAAAAAGATTTAACAATTACTGTTTTATATTTAACTACATGTACATGATCAAATATGTTACATGTGCGTCTTTTTGAGATTTAAACTACACCTAGGATAGAACATAACTCAAGATATCTTGATAATGATTCAAAAATAGCAATAATCTATTTTTAGATACAGAAATATGGGTTTTTCCATTAGACCTTCTATTTATAGCCTAAATTCATATCAGACATTACACAAGGACATTTTATCATGATACGAGGAACTTGTAAACATCAGACAATATTCACTATGAGAAATACACTTAATTCATTTAATTTGCATTTTATTTATAGGGAAAATATCTTACAAGGAAGTTTGAAAATACATTGCTGTTGATCACCAAAAATATCAAATGATCAATGAATTTTTCAAATTGTAAGCTACACTTAAAAACATCTCTATTATTAATGTTGTTTCTTCTGTCAAGACATGTAAAAACCACAATTTTGTTTTAAAACTATATTGCATTACATTAATATGAAATTAAAAGCTATTTGATAAATAAAAGTTTCAACCCATACAAGGTTAAACAACAACTTATTGACCTTTTCGAAAACCTAGCTAAACACCGTTTTCCGGTACGTTGCGGATTTAGCTCTGGGGAATTACATCAAATGAAGTACATAACACAGTTACATGATATTTCTATTTTTCTATCATTATTTTACCGATTAAGGTGAAAAAAGTTTATGTTTTTGAAAATTATCAATATTCCTTTAATATATATTGCAAATTTTTGTAAAAAATAAATTGTTTATAATGAAAATCAATAAAATTTAAACTGGCGTAGTGGAATCTTCCATAATAAATAAGGTTATTTTTTGCGTAAATTTGTGTATTTACTTTATTTTTGGTATGGAATCATTCATACAATGATATTCAATTATTTTCTTAAAAAGAAATAACTGTTTTATTTCAATTTAATTTAAAAAAAGGCCGAAAACATCGAGTTCGCTATTACACTCCATTAGGTGAATTCCCCAGAGCTATGTACAGAAAGTACCGGAAAACGGCGTTTAGCTAGGTTTTCGAATTCGTGAATTTCATGTTTTGCATAACTATCAAAATAATTTTTAATCAAAAAGAATATTCCATTTTTCATTTATAACAAGCTGGTAATGTGTGAAAAAAAAACAACAAACACTTCTGTCTATTAAGTTATTAAGTTGTAAATTAATTTGAACAGTCCACTCTGTCTTTTTCCCCTGTCATGAGCCTTTTGTTGTAGCTCATTTTGTATTAAAGTTAAGTGAATAGTTACATCCTTACACTGACCTCTATATTGATGGATAATTAATTCTATGTATTTTTAAAGGCCCAGTATGCCTCAGAAATGCTTTCATTTTTTTTCTTCTCAAAACTTTTTATTTTTGATAATTTGTTACAATTTCCATAATATACTAACTTAATTTGCCAATGGATGAACTAACTTTTGATTCTTTGCTCTGTCAGTGAATAAGTATTTTGTATGGAAGTCAAAATACTAATTTGTCTACATTTTGCTACCTTAACAACACATTACTGCAGATTCAGCCTACTTTCTTCATTTATTAAAATCCTAACATGCTCTAAATACATAATTAAAACACTGTTAGACACATCTTTGAGATTTCTAAAGCAAGAAAAATATAAATTTTCCCAGGCATACTGTGCCTTTAAACATAAAATCAGTAGGGTCAAAAGTAAATCATTTGACACACTCACATACCTGAGATACTATACAACAGATCACCCAGTAGCTGTACCGAGCTGTACCGGATTCTCCAGTTATCATCAAACAATCCCTTCTCTAGTTCCGGTAACAATAACTCTATAGCCGTGTTAGCGTACATGTTGATAATTCTCTGACCGGCCTTTAATGCTGTCTCTCGTACATACTCTGACTCGTCAGCCAGGGCCTACAAATATATACAACAAATATTTAATTCATTGACCAAGGCCTACAAATAATATAACAAATATTTAATTCAGGTTAGTGTAGTTTTTTTATAAATCAGGTTGCTTGGAGGCTTTTACACCAATTTTAACCCATTTTTGTTCACATTTCAGTCGTTGGTCCTACTAACCCATTTTCTGGAATAATATTAACTAATTTCTTCGCAAGTGACGATTACAATTCCACATGATTTCTGCAGCGGTGGTGAGAGACAAATAACCATTAGACCCAATGTTTGGAATAACTGTCACAAAATATTTTCGCCGTGCCCGAGGATCAAATCAGATGCCCCTGGATTTAAAATTTGATGCTCTCCTTATTAAACTAACCATGCTTCTATTTATTAAACTTTATTTTCAGTCATCAAATGTTCTCATCACTCTAAACAGCTGTTTACTTTATCATAAACACTGGTTAAATGAATTCCAGTGACTAGAAATGCTCATACAAATACTTTGCTGAATAAAGGCAGGGGAAAATGTCTCTATTTCTTGTACAACATTGTTCATATTGACTGACTAATGATTAATACCAAGTACTTCCCTTACAATGATACTTAATTTATAGTTTGGCAACTATTGACAACTCTTGTACATATAAAGAATTAATATGTTTGGTTTTTTTGGTTATTAATAAAACTGCAAGTATTTAAGTCAAGTTGCATTGTTTCCTTTACATTTTTTGGAAAAATTTGGCTTAATAATAGAACTGCAAGTATTCAAGGCAGGTCATAATGCACTGTATCCTGACAAGATATTTGACTATATAAAGGTTAAGTTTAAAAGGTATTTAACAGAACAACGATGCCCTCTTCTTGAAAACACCAGTATTTACTATAAATCATAGACTTAAACAAAACATACCTGAAGAATAGATGGGATTATAGGTCCTACATATTCTTTGAACTCTTCTTTGAATACAGATGGCAGGTAGATATACATCATGATGTAGCCGTCACGTACGTGAGGCGGGATGTCTGTGCGTTCTGCCGTGTGTATGACCTGCGGCATCAATTTGTGCATGTCAGCCAAACCCATTCCTCCCAACACTTCACTGAGACCTGTAAGTAACGATGTTGTAATATTAATTATTAATTATATCTAGGGAACAAACATGACATTTTCAACTGAGGACTGATAATTACCACCTTAATAACAACAACAGATAAATCTTTTAACTTAAGTTCAACAGACAAAAATCTAGCTACTTTGTTAATTTTTAAATAGTACTCTAAGATATATTTGTATAGCAAGCAAAGAAACAAACATTACCACTAATTTTCACCATTCATAAACTTCTTAATGCTTGAACATGTGAAGGAAAATTCAACATATAAATAATATCATTTAAAATGTCACAGGGTTAAAAAAATGTGCAGCCTGACCGGACTCAAACTCGGGACCTTTGGAATACTGTACTGAGGCTCTACCGACTGAGCTATACGGCCGCTTGCACTATCTCCGCTAATTAGTGAAGAGTTTGAACCGTGACAAAAATAACTGACAAATTTTTACTTAGGACCAAAAATCATAATAGTTGTCACTTTTATATGTGGTTCAATTATTTTATTAATTTGGTCAGGTATTTTTTAATCTTACAAACTTTTCAAACTTCACATGTCAACTTCTCAGCTCTTATGGTGAAAGAAAAAATCAAATGTCCTCTACAGATAATTTCAAAACAGGACAAACACCGATGTAAAACACCTGTCATCTGAAACCTAGCTGATCAGCATTATTTGGAAGAATTCAATGACATTTAAATACAAATGGAGGTAAAATAATCCTTCAGTGATTTCAGATTAATAATAATGCAATTTGAAGACTGATGGACACACACCTTGAGCAGCACCAGATCTGTCCACCGAGCTTCCTTCCGACTTCAGTGTCTCCATCAACCAGTTCATCAGCTCATCAAACTTCTGACCGCCCATACCTTTCACCATAGCACCTAGGGCGTGAGCTGATACAGCCCTAACTTCTGGTACAGGGTCCAGCAGAGACTGTTTCAAACCTGGGATAACCTTGTCTATGTATGGGTCTAAATCCTGAAATATATACAGAAAATCTTTGTTAAAACATATCTTTTACACTTGATTCTTGCACAAGTTCCTGTAACTTATATTAAACATTTTTTAATCTGTTTCCAGGAACTAACCAGTGTCGGTGATACATGAAGAAATATGGTTGTAACTGGAATATACGGTATACCATTAACTCATCATGATTTAATCATCCATGGATTGAGGGTTTCACCACTCCTCGGGTTACAAACACAAATCAAAATTTTTACTACACAATGAACAAAATATCATGCAATATTAAATTAATTTCAATTATTTGCAATTATCCAGGATGATTTTTCTTTACAGTTACTTGACAAATAAGGTCTCTGGTAAAAAAATGTTATACACAAAATCATTTATTAGCCAACAACCCTCCTTAACAGTCTTTCACTAGAGATCTTTAAATGCCCTTACAAAATCTTAATGGACACAATTATACGTATGACCTTCCATAGAATCTTATTTGAATGCATGGTCTAATTTATACTATTTGAATGTTACAGGTCTATGATATAACAATGGGTATAGAGCAAGGTAAGGTATATTAAAAGTTTTGCATTCAAACCCAATATTTATTGTAATTTCTAAAGGGAGGGAGTTATAACAGTCCTGTACAAAGAGTCAGTGTCATAATTATACAGTATAAAATATACCTTCTGATCTGTGAGAGAGTACATATTGCCAATAATCTGTGCGGCCATTTTCCTGGTTTCTGTTGCCCTGTCCTGGAAGGCACGTTCTACTACAGGCATGATTAAAGCCAGTGATGGAGCATCTATAAAATGTACGAACTTTGTCTCCAGCAGGTTCTGTAAACACATACTGGTCTTCCTAGCTGGGTCTTGTAATGCATCCAGTAACACGGGTACAATTGCTGTAAATAAAATGACAATTAACAAATTTCTTTTATCTATACACCTGCCATACAATAGAATCATACCCTTTTTATTATAACCTGATTAAGTCTTCAGTCTTTAAACAGTGAAATGACAACATGACATTTTTATTACAACATTGGTGTCACTGGCTTTGTAATCAAAAGGTTTAAATTTTCAAGAGAGAAAAATGTTTGTTTTTGTTTTTTGATTGGGGTTTACATCACATCTACACATTATAGGTCATATGGCGATGTTCCAGCTTTACTGGTGGAGGAAGATCTGGAGTGCCCTTTCATGCATTATTTCAGGCAAAAACGGCACTTGAGTAGAACCACTGAATTTCAATAAGATAGCTGGATAACTTCCTAACAGAAAGAATCCAAAGTCCCTGCTGGGATTCGAACCCACAGTAGTGAGAGAAAAATGTATTTATCTCCTAATGTAAAAAAAAATATTTTTTACAGTAAAACTTTCACAATCCATTCCTGAATTATTTGTTTATATATCTCCATGTAGAAATTACTGGGAACCAACCTTGAATTTCAGGATTTCCTTTTGAGACATTTCCGATCTGTCGGAACCCTGGAACATTTTCTGTACACGGGTGTGATGGTGAGAACCTCGAATTCCCGGGTAAATATTGGTAAAATGCAGACAATTTTGGGTGCACAGTACCCATAGATCCAGTAACCCCATGCACTGTATTAAACAAAATTATCTTACTTAATTCCGTTCAAAAAAAAATTTCTATAAGAAAATAAAGACATTTCACTTTTTGTTTAGACACAAAAATTGAAAAAGTTTTATGAAAATTTGTAAAATATAAACCAGTTTCCCTGCAGTAAAAATCAACTAGAAATAAAATAAAATTTATTCATGCCCAAATTTATTTCATGAAATCCACAGGGTATTGATAGAAAATATTCTTTAAAACTGCTGTGATTTATTTACAGACTATCAAAGATACATGCTTATTACAAGAACTGAAAGTAAATATCACAACCTCAATAGATAGATTTGTTTGTTTGTTTGATAGGGCTTTTCATCAGACCAACACAGTATAGGATGTATGGTAACCTTCCAGCTTTACTGATGGAGGAAGACCTCAGGTGCCCCTCTGTGCTTTATTTCAGGCAGGAACAGGCACCTGAGTAGAACCACTTACGTGCCATAAGCTAGCTGGATAGCTTCCTCACATGAAAGAATCAAAGTTCTTATCTGGATTCGATCCCACTGGGGTGAGGGGCAAGTGGTTTGATGTCAACGTCCTTAACCACTCGGCCACAGATGCCCCATCAATAGTTAAGTAATAATTTGATAACAAACAGACAAGAGCTTTTTTCACACCTATCACATATCTAGCTAAATTCTTTCTTTAACAAATTATCACAAAAATATTTCAACATATATATGAACATATTGACATACCAGCCTTGGTTCTCCACGAGTCCTCTTCCAGACCTTTGAGAAGTGATGGTAGGACAAGTTTAACACCATGAGCTGTCAACATTGCCATAACTGCCTTTGCCGTCTCGTCAGCAGCCTTATAAATAATGATAAATATTTCAATATTAAAAGTTTAATAATGTTTCTGTGCTTGGGTTTTAAAGCACAGCCACACTGGTACTTTTAAGGTTTGGGTTGAAAGGCAGATACTTTAAACACATGGCCACTGTTCTTTTTTTTTGGCTTAACAAATAGAGGAGATAAACTCTTAATGCCTCTTCTGTGAATAATTTTAAATATGGAGAAGTTTACCATCTGGCTGCTTATATTGAAATTCATCCTCAAATTTATGAGGGTTACAGAGCAATATGAATTAATAAGAAGTCACCGCCCCCTGTTGGGCGCCCAATGTCACAGGGACTCGAACCCTGTACCCTCAGAATACCTTACTGTAGCTCTACCAACTGAGCTATTCAGCCGCTTACACCTCCTCTCTCCTAAATAGTGAACAGTTCTGACCTGTGATATTTTTGCTGATAGAATATAAGTGTAGTTACCTCTCGCACGTACTGACTGGCATCACCGAAGCAGAGCAATAGATGTGGTAAAATATGTACAACATATGGTTCAAACAGTTTACCCAACATCGTACACATCATCTCATATGCAAACAATGCTCCTGTAACATATAATAAATGTTTGAACATTATTAAACCCTTTTTATGTGTTAGGATAATAATTACATGTACTAACCATTGTAGGGTGAAGAAAATCTGACTTTTTTAATTTTATAATTTTACTTCTAAAATTCTGCAAAAAAAGTCTACTGAGAGTAATATATGAAAACTAAGTTACCAGAAACATACTAAATCCAGTTCAGGGTGAAAGGTTTTGATTTTTTTTTCTAAGTTCAAACTTAGATTTCAGGCATTTGCTTGGTCAGAAAAGCATCCACAGAATCTACACAAATCAATGAAAATCCTGAAATTTGAGACAGAGCTATAAAAGAAAAGTTTTATAATCTCCATGCTAAATTATTCAACTGATTCTTCTTTACTCACCTTCCCTCCTTCTGGGATTTTTCTTATCTTTCACTGCATCCTCCAATGTTGTCATAATCTCAAGTTGTTTCAGTGCAGTAATTCCCAGCCCTCTGACAAGACCAGCCAGTCCATAAGCTGCCCCCTTACGTTCCCCGTAGTTATCCGACTCTAGTAGAAGGTCCATCAATTTCTGTACGAGTTCTGGTGCGTTAGATTTAACAGCTGGAACTAATGGTGGTAGGCAGTTTGCTACAGCCTCTTGTACCTACAGGCAAAACAAGAGCGATCAGTGATCACATGTGTCGCCTCATGATGGCCAATTTCATGTTGGGACAAGTTTTGTGACAGACGGACAGTGCACAACTAAAATTGGTACTGATCATTCCTGTAAAGTTTGGATAAAATTGCACCAGCAGTTAATGAGGAGTAGTCCGGACAAGCTTTTGTGTATCTGGCAACACACAAAAAAACACACCTTTTTTTCAAAGGGCCATAACTCAGCCAAAAATCATTCAACCGGAAAACCCGTGCAATATGCGCAAGGACTTGAGCTACAGATCAATCCTGTAAAGTTTCATTAAAATTGCATTAGTGGTATAAGAGAAGTAGTCCGGACAAACTTTAAAAATAACTAGAAATGTGTCCATAGGACACGGATGCCCCCACACGCCACTGTTCTGTCAATCTTATGACTCTAGGTCAAATATTTTTTGGACTACATATGCCACAAGTTGAAAACTAAAAATCAACAAAGGGCCATTATTCTGTTAAATTTAGTCGCAGCAAAAATTCCTTTCTTTACTACCATCTACACATTAAGGTTGTTCATCCCTGGAAGTTTAAGCAAAATCTGCCATCCGGTTTAAGAGGAGTTGCGTTCACAAAATTTCTGCATAGTTTATAGTGAAAAAATCAACAAAGGGCCATAATTCTGTTAAATTTGGTCGCAGCAAAAATTCCTTTCTTTACTACCATCAACACATTAAGGTTGTTGAATGTTCATCCCTGGAAAATTAAGCAAAATCTGCCATCCGGTTAAAGAGGAGTTGCGTTCACAAAATTTCTACATAGTATATAGTGAAAAAATCAACAAAGGGCCATAATTCTGTTAAATTTGGTCGCAGCAAAAATTCCTTCCTTTACTACCATCTACACATTAAGGTTGTTCATCCCTGGAAGTTTCAGCAAAATCTGCCATCTGGTTTAAGAGGAGTTGCGTTCACAAGATTTCGGGACGTACGGACAGACGTACGGACGGACGGACAAGTGCAACACTATATGCTCCCACTCTGTGGGGGCATAAAAATTATTATAGGGCCATAATTCTGACAAAAATCATTAAACTGGAAAATGCTGACAATATGCACAACTAGACTTGGTACTGGTCATTCCCGTAAAGTTTGGATGAAATTGCACCAGTAGTTTATGAGGGGTAGTCCGGACAAGTTTTGTGATGAACGGATAGACAAACAGACGGACAGACAGACAGACGACGGAGAAGTGATCCCTATATGTCTCCACTACTCCGTAGAGGCGACACAAAAACCAACCCCTTCAAACTCCTATTGCATCATCACTTTGTAAAATAATTGAAACGTTCTCCTTAAAGTGGCTTCAGCTTCTTTTTTTACTGGGAAAACAATTCTGTGTTGTTTTAAACTAAGTATTTCAATAACTTTATCTTGGAAAAGTGCATCATATCACTGTTAAACCTTCTTGAAAACAGCACCAGAGAGCTATTTATAACGCGACAGTGATGTTCGTTTAAAAAAAATAGAAGATCGGGAAAAGAATTGTCCGCTTAACTAGATATATATTATAGCATATATAAGACTGGCTTTGACAATAATGTGTATGCATTTTAACATTATCATTATTCCACAATCATCAAATTCTAGAATCGTATCTTGTAACTTTACCTACAACATTTTAAAGCTTCAAATCTATTTATATTTTGCTACCAGAGTATAACCACTTACCTCTTGTGATGGAGTTGATAAAGCAGCTATAAGCTGACCAACAATGGGTTTTACTTTCGGGTTATCTTTATCTAAATGTTTGGCCAGGGAGCCCATGAGAATGACGATACTCTGTCTTACAGCATCGTACCCAGCTGTGCCCGGCGCGCTCGTGAGAAACTCCTCAAACACGGGTAGTAACACGGCAACATTGTCCTGAAATACATGTATGTATAACACATGCAAGTCAAAATGATGACAATATAACATGACATTGTCCCCAAATGTATAACAAATAAGCTAATTAAATTAATGGACAGCAATATTTTAATTCAACAACATACATGTTCAAAAGTACAGAGGTATAAATATAACAATAATTCATATAACATGCTATTTGAAAGAAATTCTTTAAACACTATAAAATTGTAAGACAATATTTGGAGATAAAAAATTATTTTTTATCCTTTAAATATATCATCTTTCCATTTCCTAAAACAAACCTCACTGAGCACTTAAAAGCATTTACATTTTCTCTAAAAAGTTCAAGAAAATAGAATTTAAACTTGATAAAATAAACAGAACTGTTTTATGCTTAAAATTATACCTTTCCATGAACATTGATTGTTGAGAGGGCCGCTGACCTCATCTGAGATCTGACCTCGGCACTTCTGTCACCAAGTCCCTTAGGTACGTAGAAATTGAACAGGGGGAGTAACTGCTCCTGGGGTAGTATAGGAGCTATGTATCCTAGTGCCATGGCAACCCCAGTTCGTGCTGGCCACTCGTCCATCAGCTGTGTGGATATTGCACGACCAAACTCATCCAGTATTGGTGGTGGCATCTAAAGTAACATTATAACAGAAATGTAAGCCGCATGCTGGTTATTCCTAAATAATTTTTACATAATAACTGGCTATTTTCAAAATATAAATTTAATAATTTCAGTAATAACTAAATATTTTTCAATTATAACTGAAGAATCATTTTTCTAAATTTTGGAAATAGTAATGTGCAGGAACATAATCATGAAGGCTGATATGCATTGAACGATAAGCTATAATGCAAGAAAATTTAATATCTTTTTCCATTCTAACATGCTATTAAAAAAGAGAATTGATAATAAATATGTTGAACTGCATTAAGGGTAGAAGTATTTCTGCTGACGTTATTTGGTTTATTGATATCAGATATGATGTCATACGGTGTGTAAACATTCCTTTTCTATTCTGTGCATATATTGTGTAATAATACACTTGATTGCCCTATCTATTTGATAGAGGAATATTTTAAAACATGTTAGAATGTTCAACAAGAACTGTCGGAGGACAGTAACACTCGACTATTCGAAAAGTTGTCACAAGTGTGTTTCATTGAGTATAATAATGCTTACCTATATGAATACATAAAATTGTCCGAAAAAGTACAAACTCTTCAGTAGGAGATGCCAGCTTACAAGCAAAAATTTACCTAGAATTTCTAAGTCGAAAAAGGGGCATAATTATGTAAAAAAGCAAACCAGAGTTATGGGACTTGTGCCAATCATCTTAGATAATCACAGAGAACAAGTGTGTGAAGTTTCAATCCATTCCCTTCAGTAGTTATGGAGATACCAGCTTACACACAAAAACTTAACCAAGAATTTCTAAGTCGAAAAAGGGGCATAATTATGTAAACAAGAGGGCCATGATGGCCCTGAGGTCGCTCACCTGTATAAAGGCTCCCGGAGCGGACCAGTTTAAACCCAAGGGCTTTTCTTTGAACAAAACAATGATCTCCCCCTCCCCCTCCAGCAGGCCAATTTTCACCCGAGGGCTTTTATTTGAACAAACTGGGTAGACACCCATAAGAAGATGTTTCATGCTAAACATCTAAGCTCTAGCTCATTGGGTTTTTTATAAAGAAGTTATTTTAAGTTTTTACTATACACATATAGTTAAAAACAATGACACGCCTGGGGCCGGGCCAGTTATGACCCCAGGGCTTTAATTTGAACAAACTTTGTAGACACTCACTAGAACATGTTTCATGCTTAATATCTAAACTCTAGCTATTTGGGTTTTTTCAAAGAAGATTTTTTAAGTTTTTGCTATACACATATAAGGAAAATCAATGACCCCCCGGGGGGGCCAATTTTGACCCCAGGGCTTTTATTTGAACAAACTTGGTAGACACCCATTAGAACATGTTTCATGCTAAATATCTTAGCTCTAGCTCTTTGAGTTCTTTAAAAGAAGATTTTATAAGTTTCTCCTATATGCATATTGGGAAAATCAATGACCCCCTGGTGCGGGGCCAATTTTGACCCCAGGGCTTTTATTTGAACAAACTTGGTAGACACTCATTAGAAGATGTTTCATGCTGAATATCTTAGCTCTAGCTCTTTGGGTTCTTTAAAAGAAGATTTTTTAAGTTTTTACTATATGCATATAGGGAAAATCAATGACCCCTGGGGCGGGGCCAATTTTGACCCCCTGGCTTTTATTTGAACAAACTTGGTAGACACTCATTAGAAGATGTTTCATGCTGAATATCTTAGCTCTAGCTCTTAGGGTTTTTTAAAAGAAGATATTTAAAGTTTTTTCTTTCGGTTGCCATGGCAACCAGAGTTCTGCATGGAATTAAATTCTTTGAACAATTTTTAAAGGTGACCACCAAAGGAACATTCCTGTGAAGTATGGATGAAATTGGCTTAGTGGTTTATGAGGAGATGTCATTTACAGTAAAAGTTAACAGACGGACGACGGACGGATGATGGACGGGCTCCGGACGAAAAGGGATCATAAAAGCTCACCCTGTCACTTTGTGACAGGCGAGCTAAAAAGCAAATCAGAGTTATGGGACTTGTGCCAATCATCTTGGATAATCACAGAGAACAAGTGTGTGAAGTTTCAATCCATTCCCTTCAGTAGTTATGGAGATACCAGCTTACATGCAAAAACTTAACCACAGGGACGCCGACAAATGGGTGACTGCATTAGCTTGATTATTCTGCGAATAGTCGAGCTAAAAATTCACTTGATATTATTTCAATACTTAAAACAAGACAACATTTAAACAAATTAAAGATCAAAGTTCACCTCTAACTTGTCGTCATACTTCCGCAGCAACTGTTCAATGGTGGCATCTATATATTCTGTATGACATTCCAGTGTTTTGGCGAGACATTGGGCCGCAGCTTTCCTCACGATTTCTTCAGGATGTATGACATCATCCACCAGAGGGGTACACATATCCTCAAATGGCTCTTCAATATCTAGCTCATCTCGTAAACTAAAATTTAAAGAAATCATTCTTTTACACATTCTGACCTTTAAAGGGTGTAAATTTGCATTAAACCAGATAAAGTTCAAAAATTGGCATAAAACCAGACAAATGTGCTAAAATTGATTTAAAACCTGACAAATATGCTATAATTGGAATAAAACCAGACAAATGTGTTAAAATTGGCATGAAAACCTGACAATTTGCTAAAATTGGCATAAAACCAGACAGATGTGCTGAAATTGGTGTAAAACCAGACAAATGTGCTAAAATTAGTATAAAACCAGATGTGCTAAAATTTGCATTAAACCAGAAAAATGTTCAAAAAATGGCATAAAACCAGACAAATGTGCTAAAATTGTCATGATACCAGACAATTGTGCTAAAACTGACTTAAAACAAAGTTAAATGTGCTAAAATTGGAACAAAACCAGACAAATGTACTAAAATTGGTGTAAAACCAGGCAAATGTACTAAAATTTGCATAAAACCAGACAGATGTGCTGAAATTGGTGTAAATCCAGATAAATGTGCAGAAATTAGTATAAAACCAGATGTGCTAAAATTTGCATTAAACCAGAAAATGTTCAAAAATTGGCATCAAACCAGAAATATGTGCTAAAATTGGCATAAAACCAGACAAATGTGCATAAACTGGTCTAAAACCAGACAAATGTGCTAAAATTGGCATGATACCAGTCAAATGTGCTAAAATTGGCATGAAAACCTGACAAATATGCTAAAATTGGCATAAAAAGAAGACAAGTGTGCTAAAATTGGCATAAAACCAGACAAATGTGCTAAAATTGGCACTAAAAAAACCCAGACAAATGTGCTAAAATTGGCATTTAACCAAACAAATGTCTTAAAATTGGCATAAAACCAAACAAATCTGCTAAAATTGGCATAAAATCAGACAAACAAACCTTTCTGCAAGAGTTTTTACATCAGTCTCCACATCATAACAAGCTACCCATACTCTCTGTGCTATCATTAAACCTAGCTCAAAGTTATCATCTATGTTGGGTAATACATTCGACAAACACAGTAATGCCTGTAATAGGAAACAGTAAAACATAAAAGTGTTAAGTTATGAAGAATATCATCTAAGGTTTTATACATGCAATCTTAAAATATGTGGTTGACTTTCTTAAAACTAAGTGACATATCTAAGATACAGATGGACAAAAAAGAAAAGCTTGAAAATAAATTATTAACATCAAAATAGTCTAATTAAATTTTGAGTTCGATTAAGTCAGGGCTGCCAACACCAAATTGCAAAATCCGAGGAAAATACGCCGGGGTCAAGGCTGAGCAAGCCCCCTTTGCGGGTCCAGGGCAGAGCCCTGGTGGGGGCCCAGGGGGCGAAGCCCCAGGAAGCTCCTGGATTCTGATGATTTGGTATGCCCTAAAATCAATTTCCTGGACTCTAAATTTGACTTCCTTGGTTGCCTTTAAAGCCATTCAGAGACACTTTAGTTGGACTTCAGGTTTTCATCAGCCCTCAAAACAAATATCCGACATTTTGACAACAGACAAGAGCGACAATGTAAACTGTAATTTGATTGGTTATTCTAAAATAGAATGCCGGAAAAGACTCGATTTGACCAATGAGAAAAGCGCTTACAGACGTACCATAGGCGGCTAGCGTAACGATAAAAGCCGAAAAGTGCCGGTTTTTGGGTACTGTATAAAATATGACGAATGAATTTATTGTCTTTGTCCAATTTACATTGATCTCAAAAATGACCCAGGCCCCGTGTTCACAAAGATTTAAGGATCAGGATCAAGATCAGGATCAAATTTAAAAACCCTAATATTCTTCATTGTGTTTCCTCATAGATAAATATCTAATTATAAATTTGATAAAACTGGACCTGAAATAGCAAGTATATGAAATTTTAGAATAAATTAATTGTTAATTTTGCAAGATATGGGCATTTTACAGTTCAGGGCACTAGACAACTTTTGGGGACAGGTACCCATACCCTCAGAAAGGGGAATTTTGCGTCATTTTAAGACAAAAAGGGGAATTTTAAGCCATATATGAGTTTTTTAAATTTAGGTTTTACACTTACTCTTGGCACAATTTCCTACCATTACTTACAATAGCTATAAAGTATATTTATTACTATAGACCTAACATATAAAACATATAAGTTAACATAAAGTTTTTCTTGAAATAGGCTATGTCATTGTTTTCTTTATTGCTTTCTTATTGCACTTGACTGACTCAGACATCAATCAGAGCTTCAGATATATGTTTTTGGCCAAGGGTTTTATACCCCTCAAATTCTAAAGTGAGGGGTAAAATGCAAATTCTGAAAAACGTAAGGGTTATATTAAAATCTATAACAAGCATAATGCATTTTTGTTTTTGATAAAAAATTAAAATTGACAGTTGTTTTTGTTGTTGCTGTTTTTAAAAAAAACTTACAAAAATATTGATTCAGTGCAACAAGCTCTGGAAAGGCAGACTTTCCCACAGGCGCTAGTCACATAATCAAATATTTTACATAATCGGTCTATATATGTATATAAAGATATCTTTATATACATATATAGACCGATTATGTAAAATATTTGATTATGTGACTAGCGCCTGTGGACTTTCCTAGGCAAGGGTATGTTGTACCCAAGTTATGGAAACACAGCAAAATTATTTCCTATCATAGTCATTAATGTTTTCTTTATTTTTAAAGTTAAAAATGTATCACACTATTTTGCAATCTGCACTGGTCAGTTCTTAATCTATTTTCTACATATTTCTGCCTGTTCTTTAGATTGAAACAATTATAACAATGTGAATTGATATAAGAATTAAATAATAATAAACAAGAAAGTTTTATGCTTTTTCTAAGAAAGGTTTTGGTTCCAGAGGAAATTGTCTGTAACTGTAAAACTGGGTACGAAAATATTTGGTACGAAAATATTTGAGTACAAAACTGCAAGAGAAATACGTTTTTTCCAACAACAACTGACAGAAATTAAATTAAATTTAGTTTTGTTTATTTACTAGCAGAATATGACAATGTATGTCTATTCTCTAAACAAATTAAATATAAGGTAAACTCCTACGATGATTATCTGCCACATTAATTTTGTCAATAATTTTTACGAGAGTTACCTCCCTTGTACATTTCTCACTTCCTGCTACTTTCGGTTTTAACATACAGCGTTGTTGACAACTGTATTTTAGTTTTCAATCCATTGAAAGTTAAACAGAAATATATTTTATTTTTATGAAATCAAAACATCACTTTTTTTTGTTAAATATCAAACACTAACACTACAATTTTTTTAAGGGGAATTTTCTACTGAAATAGGGAAAAAAGCATATGATTTTGAGAGGGGAATGGGGCCGATATTCGGCCCCAAAAATGGCCAAACGAGTGCCCTGCAGTTGATCCAAAAATTGATCCTGATCCTAAAATTGATCCTTATTTTGATCCAAATATTTTGTATTTGTTTTGTTATTTGTTGATTTTATCCCAAAATAGTTTGTTTTCTTTGCAAATCAGCATATTTTTACAATTTGAATATTTACAATTTAATTCAACAAAACACAAATAATTTTAGTAACGTTAAACAATGAAAATAAAATCAGGATCACTTGATCCTGATCCTGATCTTTTCTTAGTGAACACGGGACCAGGAGCTCACGAAATCCGCGGATTTCCGCAAATCCGCGGAAAATCGGCAGCCCTGTTAAGTTAATTACTTTTAAAATATTTTTGTCATGGAACCCATCCTAAATAGAACGCAAATTGATTGCAACTGACACGTGGGTTTAAACCCTGTCAAGGGCAAGTCGTTGTTTCCCCTGAGCAAGAAACTTTTCACATATTGCTAAATACTGGTTAGTTCCAGAAAAAGATTTGAGAGCGTTTCAATAAACTAATAGCTTCCAACACAATCAAACTAAACTAGAACTGCCACTATCATGGCGTGAATACCCCCGCATACCACTTTGTCAGAATCAACAGTGGCCATTTAGAGCTCAAGGACAACCTGCCAAATCTGAGGTTACTAAGCCAGTGCATTGCTAAGTTATGTATTCTACATGCTTCAAATGTGAAAATGTCAAAATCAATACACTGCGGACAGATTGAGAAGAAAAGCTTTTTTTTGTCAAGGTCCCTGTGACCTTGACCTTTGACCCAGTGACCTCAAAATCAATAGGGGTCACCTTATGGTCATGATCAACATCCATGCCAAATATGAAGACTGTGGGTCAAAGGAATCTTAAGTTAATGGGTCGACAAACTTTTTGAAGTCAAAGTCCCTGTGACCTTGACCTTTGATCAAGTGACCTCAAAATCAAAAGGTGTCATCTACTAATCATGACTAACCTCCATTCAAAATATGAAGACTGTGGGTCAAAGGAATCTAAAGTTATTGAACAGACAAGCTTTTTATGGTCAAGGCCCCTGTGACCTTGACCTTTGACCTGGTGACCTCAAAATCAATAGGGGTCATCTACTTATCATGACTAACATCCATGCCAAATATGAAGACTGTGGGTCAAAGGAATCTTAAGTTATTGAGCAGACAAGCTTTTTGAAGTCACGGCCCCTGTGACCTTGACCTTTGACCTGGTGACCTCAAAGTCAAAAGGGGTCATCTTCTAATCATGACTAACCTCCATGCCAAATATGAAGACTGTGGGTCAAAGGAATCTTAAGTTATTGAGCGGACAAGCTTTTTGAAGTCACGGCCCCTGTGACCTTGACCTTTGACCTGGTGACCTCAAAATCAATAGGGGTCATCTACTAATCATGACTAACCTCCATGCCAAATATGAAGGCTGTAGGTCAAAGGAATCTTAAGTTATTGGGCGGACAAGCTTTTTGAAATCAAGGCCCCTGTGACCTTGACCTTTGACCTGGTGACCTCAAAGTCAATAGGGGTCATCTACTAATCATGACTAACCTCCATGCCAAATATGAAGACTGTGGGTCAAAGGAATCTTAAGTTATTGAGCGGACAAGCTTTTTGAAGTCACGGCCCCTGTGACCTTGACCTTTGACCTCAAAATCAATAGGGGTCATCTACTAATCATGACTAACCTCCATGCCAAATATGAAGACTGTAGGTCAAAGGAATCTTAAGTTATTGGGCGGACAAGCTTTTTGAAGTCAAGGCCCCTGTGACCTTGACATTTGACCTGGTGACCTCAAAATCAATAGGGGTCATCTACTAATCATGACTAACCTCCATGCCAAATATGAAGACTAAGGGTCAAAGGAATCTTAAGTTATTGGGCGGACAAGAAAAAACCGACGGACGGCCGGACGGACAACCTGATTCCAGTATACCCCCCTTACAACTTTGTTGTGCGGGGGTATCAATAAATTTCGAATTAAGTAACTGACACAATTACACAACTGTTGAACAAAGGAATGTTGGGAAGAAAAAAAGCCATAATCTGGGCATTTTTAACTCAAATTTTAGGAACCTGACCAACTACGGAATATACCAACCTGTAAGGCAGCTTCCCTGGATGCTGTGCAAGTTGACTTTAAAGAATCTAGGAGTACTTTAATCTCGTCACTTCCTATCTTAGCACATCCCTTATCTCCATTCACAGATTTCGCCACTTCTACAAGAGCCATGTCCGCTAACTGTTGTATCTTCGGTGTGGATACTCCAATAACACGGATCAATAATTGTAGTAACTCTTTCACTGGGAATAAACTTGGACCATTTTGCTGAAAGAATATATAATGATATTGACTATTATTATGGTTTAGTTTCCAGTCACACCAACAAAGTACAAGAGCATTGCATGCGGTGTTTATGCTTGTCTGTTAAAACAACCACTTTTGTTGACAAAAAATCTGAGTTAGAAAAAGGGGCATAACTCCATTATAGCTTTCAGTATAATGCCCCGTGTCTGACAACTGCACCATGTCATGATAAGCAAGTATTCTAAGTTTTATGTTGATAATTTTTAGATATTTTAATAATAAGATACCAAAGTTTTTGAACAATGATAGCGCAGCAATCATAATAGCTCGACTTTTTCTCCGAATAAGACAAACTAAAGGACTTCCCCTCAATGCAAAATTTTACTTGTCCAGGACTGCCCTTCCATTAAAATTTTTACTTATAGGACTTCCCCTCCATGCAAAATTTTACTTGTCCAGGACTGCCCCTCCATAAAAGATTTTACTTATCAAGGAAAGTCCCTTCATGCAAAATTTTACTTGTTGAATACAGCCCCTCCATGCAAATTTCACACAAGCTATTTCTGTCTTATTCAGTATTGTTTCTGACTGCCTATCTGACAAAGTAAGTTTGTCTTATCTAGTTTTTTTGTTTTTTTTAATATACATTTTACAAAATCTAAAAGATTTATTGTACTTACTGGTCGGCTTTCAGAATGTCGTATTTGAGCGTGTCCAGCTATCAACTTCAACACCTTTCCCATCAAACTTTCATCCTTCCCTACAGCCTCCCCGTTATTCACTAATACACAACTCAAGAAATAGTACATGAACGCAAAGCTTGTAGCATGATATAGTGTCCCGGATGTCTCACTCTCGTATGATGAACTCTCGTACACAGATTCCGAGTAGAGAATTTCTATCACCCTTGTGGCCTGTTTACTGACAGGTTCTTGTGACCATGCAGTGTCCCATTCATAGTCCGGGTTCAAAAGACGCAGTGTAGAGTTACTGAGTAAAGTACCTGTAACATTAAATAATAAATTATTACATGATATATTTAGTTTATAGTTTAATTTTTCACATCTAATGCAGCATCTATATCAAAGGTTAATGGAACACAAAGTGTTGATAATTGTTATTAATTCAACTTTCCATTCTAGTGAAGCAATTCAGCGTTTTTTTTCTTTTCTTTTTTAGATTAATGTTTTAACAGTCATCTCCTTTGAAACATCACTCATTTTGTATATTTACTTATTTATTTTGTATAATAACAAAAATCAATCTTAAATCATCCAGATAATGCTAGGATTACACTCACATTCTGTCAAGAAAATTAATTTTCAGACTAGTAATGAATAAATTTGGTTTATTCATTTTCAAAAATACCAATATAAGTTTAAGTAAAACTGTAAAACACTTGAACACCAGGACAGGTTTTCAATATTTTATTTATGTCTACTAATTTCTGTCAATACTTGACCTTTCATTAGGAGAAATTTATTCCAAACTTTTGCTACTTAAGTATAGAAAAAGTGGCCACAATTTATGACATTTGTTACTAAAATTAAACACATTGTTACTAAATATAGAAGTGATTTTGGCTGAATGCCAACAAGTCCCAGTAGTTTATATTACCAATTAAAAGTCTCATCTGCTGGTGAATAGCCCATATATTACATTTACATTAATGATAAGTTCATTGTTATTGCTGTACATGAGATATTCATGCTGGCAGATGGTTTCTGTGCATGATGCATTTGCCAATAGTGGTGAGATCAGTTGGAGTACTTAAAATGTCATTGTCTCTATATTCTATTTAGCAGTAACAGTCTTCGCCTTAATTTTTTATCAGCACTAGCCCAGTCGGGCTAGCAGCTTACAAATTTCACTAGCCCGAACACATTTTAACTAGCCCGAACCAAAATGGTATTTTTTGCATACATTTTGTACAAAAATAACACTTTCTATATGTTTTATATACCATTTAACATTATTAAAATATCAACTAATCAACTTTTCTTCCTTTCATTATTTAAATAAGAAGAGTTTAAACTACATATAAAAAGAAGATATTTTGATATTTCTGTGGCATTGTCCACAGACACTGAAAAAAATTGTTTAAAAAACTGAAAATACTCTTCTCCTCGTTAACTGTAACCATGTCGGCTGATACATGCATTGACAACATATTTATATTCCTTTTCGTATTACTTTTATTTTTTTTGGTGTGTTCCTTTTTGGCTTAGTGCCTTCAAAATACAAGAGAAAAGACATATTGTGAAGCATGAGATGACGCCTAATAAATGTCTAACAATCAATAATATTTCATAAGCGTTTAAAGTTCAATAAAGCTGCAAATAATTTTTAGGGCCAAGGTGGTTTACCCATCAAAATCTAGAGTAAAATGAAAATTCTGGGGTAAAATTTATAAAAAGAATTTGCATTGTTTTGTTATCAAATTTCATTGCCTTCTAAAAAGTTCCTTTCTTTACATACTGTAATTAAAACTTTTATACACAAAGAATTAGTCTTTGAGGAAATTGTCCGTATCTGAAAACTTGGTATGAAAATATTGAGTACAAAACTGCAGATGGCAAGGGAGAAATATGTTTTCCAATAACTAAAGTGGCAAGTACAACATTTTTCTTTATTTTGTAGCAAAAACATTATAATATATGTCTAAACAAATTGAATATTAGGTTAAGTCCTACGATGATTACACCAAATTTAACTTTATCAATAATTTCATTTCAGAAACTCCCAAGAGTTACCTTCCCTTTTTACTCGATGTCACTTCCTGCTACTTTCGTTTTCAACTTACAGCAGTGTTGACAATAGTACTTTTAGTCTTCCATCCAATTCAGCAGAAATATATTGTATTTTCATAAAGCCAAAACATGCTATCTGGAGCTCTGCATATTTCCAACATTTTCTTAATTTGGATATGAAAAAAGCCCTCGACCAGACGGGCTACCAGCTTGGAATTTTCACTCGACCACCGGCAAATTTACTCGACTCGGTCGTCGGTCGAGTGGGTTAAGTCGAAGACTGCAGTAAATGTTTACATCAGTATGTAGTTTCCGTGTAGTTTTTTTTTTTTTTTTTTTTTTAGTTTGTTTTTAATAGTAGTCTAAGAAGGAAAAAATGAAAACTAATTAAAATTTAAAACACGTTAAAATAGTTAGTTACCAAATTGCTCATCATCAAAGGCACTTGCTCCCAGCTCAACAAACACTACACAAGCCTGAGGTGCAGCTAAAGGTGACCTCAGTAATGGAACCAGCAGACGACATAACTCCTTCATATATAATCCTGTATCCATACCATTTCCTTTTATCAAAGAACTAAGAAGTTGACAGCCTTTACATAGATCCTTGTTCAGCTGTAAAATATAAATTTCCAATCTTAATATTCATTAAATATATACATGTAACTGTTATAATATTTATATATAAATCTAATCACAAAACTAGAAACTTGTCCATAGGAAATGAATGCCTCCACATTTCACTGATTTTTTTTTCAGTCTACTGACAAAGTGACGTACAGACAGACAAGGACTTATCCATGCGCCTCCCGCCTAAGTAATGGGGGCAAGAATAAGTTGATGGCCTAGTATTCATGGCAGGGAATCACACATTGTACAAAGATGGTTTGTTAGACACACAACCTGATTTATGCCCACAAAAACAAACGACATAGTCCCCTTAAGTCTCTGTATTTCACCAGTTTGCAAAGAATTTATCACCATAGGAAAACAAGGGTGCCATAGTCACAAAATACGCCCGTTTACGAAAGCGTTAGATGGAGATGGGGGCATTATGGATAAGTGTTATCTAGCAAGCAAGTTTTTATCCTTGGCACTGTGTTGTTAAATGAACCTTAAAACAAATCAGTAGGGAAGATATGCACAGGATGTGTGACCTTGACCTTGGTCGCAGGGACCTGAATTTTATGCACGGCACTCAGCCTCACAATGATGAACATTTGTGCCAAATTATATTGAAATCCCTCTATGCATGTAGAAGTTTTGCTCCAGACAAGCGTTTTGCTATGAGCTCTTACTGTGACCTTCACCTTTGACCTAGAGACTTGGTTCATGTGCAGGGCACTACGTCTCATGGTGGTGAACAATTCTATAAAGTAACATTAAAATTCCTCCATGCATGTAGAAAATATGCTCCGGACAACATCTGGATATTTAATCATCTCCAGTGACCTTGACCTTGCAAATATTAACCTAAATTAAATGTGTCACACCTGTAGTCATGATAGTTACCATTTGTGCTACAATCCATTAATAAATGATGACTAAATGGTCCCTATACACATCTTCAAATTTTTATCTGAACTTTGACCTCTATGTGTAACCTTAACTTTGGTCGCAGGGATCTGAATTTTGCGTGCGACACTCAGCCTCACAATGGTGAACATTTGTGCCAAGTTATATTGAAATCCCCCAATGAATGTAGAAGTTTTGCTCCGGACAAGCGTTTTTCAATGAGCTCTAAGTGTGACCTTGACCTTTGACCTGGAGACCTGGATCATGCATGGAGCAATACATATCATGGTGGTGAACATTTCCAGAAAGTATTATAAAAATTCTTCCATACATGTAGGAGATATGCTCCAGACAAAATCTGGATATTTCACCATCTTTAGTGACCTTGACCTTGCATATATTGACCTAAAGTACATGTGTCATAGCCGTAGTCATGATAATGACCATTTGTGTTACAATCCCTCAATAAATGATGATTAAATCGTCCCTATACACATCTTCATATTTTTATCTAAACTTTGACCTCTGTGTGGCCTTGACCTTGGCTGCCGGGACCTGAATTTTGTGCGCGACACTTCGCCTCACAATGGTGAACATTTGTGCCAAGTTATATTGAAATCCCTCTATGCATTTGGAAGTTTTGCTCCGGACAAGCATTTTTCAATGAGCTCTAAGTGTGACCTTGACCTTTGACCTAAAGACCTAGTTCATGTGCGTGACATGGCTTCTCATAATGGTGAACATTTCTATGAAATTTCATTAAAATCCCTCCATGCGTGTAGGAGATATGCTCTGGACAAAATCTGTATATTTCATCATCTTTAGTGACCTTGACCTTGTATATATTGACCTAAATTATATGTATCACAGCCATAGTCTTGATAATGACCATTTGTGTTACAATCCCTCAATAAATGATGACTAAATGGTCCATATACACATCTTCATATTTTTATCTGAACTTTGACCTCTATGTGTGACCTTGACCTTGGCCGCAAGGACCTGAATCTTGCGCGCGACACTCCGCCTCACAATGGTGAAAATTTTTGCCAAGTAATATTGAAATCCCTCTATACATGTGGAAGTTTTGCTCTGGACAAGCATTTTTCAATGAGCTCTAAGTGTGACCTTGACCTTTGACCTAGAGACCTGGTTCATGTGCGCGACACTGCTCCTCATAGTGGTGAACATTTCTATTAAGTTTCATTAAAATCCCTCCATACATGTAGGAGATATGCTCCGGACAAAATTGGACGCCGCCCGCCCGCCAGGGGCGTTCCCATAATACATCCCGTTTTTCAAACGAGCGTATAAAAAGTGCATATACATACCTCAATGAGTCTTGCCCTTATCTCAGATTCTTTCTGTAGCTGGGCTTGTAACACTTCCTCCTGTTTCTTTGTTAATTTTGGTTTCTCCTTTGGTTTACCTTTCTTTTTCTCTAGCTCCTGTAATATGTACAATATAAATCTGTCAGCTAAAACATGAAATAATTAAACTTTACCACACTTATTATCTTATATAGACTTGTCAATCTTTCAAGTTGGAAAAGACTTTTCATCATTTTTTAGAAAAACAATTTCAAAGTATTTACAGACTGAATAGGTAACAGTGTACTTTATTTTAAAATGATCTTTTGTGATGGTAAAATGACAGATTTCCAGTTTTACTGCTTCAGTTAAAACTTCAGCTGACCATTCATGCATGATTCCCGGCACAAGCATGCAACCAAGTAGAATTACTGACCTGTAAGCTAGCTTCTCACATTTTTTTGTTAGGTTTTATGTTGCACCAATAAAGAATTGGTCATATGGCTACATTCCAGTTTTATTGATGCAGGAAGACCGTAGGTACACTTCCATGCATAATTTCAGGTACAAATAGGCACCTGTGTAGAAACACAGACGTTCTGTATGCTATCTGAATAGGTTCCTCACACAAATTTTTTTTTAAAAATTCCCTGTCAGAATTATAACACACAGGAATGGGGTACGAGTTGTTTGAAATCAACAACCGTAACCACTCAGCCGTGGACGCCCCTACCTTCCTCACAAAAGAACCAAAAGCCCCTGGCAGGATTCTAAACCGTAACAGTGAGTAGTAAATATGTTAATCTAAAATATAATATGTTGCTAGGCAATAAGGACATACCTTCCTTAATTCCATCTCCTCCATTTGTTCCTTGTAGGAATATAATTTGTTCTCCCGCCTTATATTCTGATTTTGTACAGTATTCATCTTTAAACTGAATAAAAAATATTATCATTATTGTCCAGGGAATTTTTTTGGCTTATTTTATAGCCCATATTCAGTCATATTATCAATTGAAAATAGAATATTATTTTCCCAATTCACAGGAAAAAATTCCCAATTGTAAAGTACAAAATAAAAATACTGAATAACAAATTCTAAAATCTTTGAAAATAAGCGCGACTTCACTGTTATGGTGCTGAAATGTTTGAAGATGCCAGCCTAGACATTGATTCTTTGCAAAATTTAATTTTGCATTTTTTCCCCAATTTTTAACAAAACATCATCGAAGTTCCCAATTCCATGGGTATGGGTCATGTTCCCAAAATCCTGGAAAAAAAACCCTGTTGTCAACAATTAAGCAATCAATGCATACAAAAAGTTTGACATGTTTTTGCAACAAAATTTCTGTTTCATATAATGCTTGTACATGCAGAGTAGATACAATAACAGTGTTCATTATTCTTAAATCAATTGCCAATATATGTTAAAATAGAAATTTACTACAAAACTATTGCTGACTGTCAAGCCATCTTATTCCGGTTAGTCATTTTAAAAACATTAAATATGAAAGCAATACAGATTATTTCATCAACAAGGGCTAACCAATTGCAAAGTTTGAAAACTTTAGGTTATACTGCACTTCATTTATACCAGAATGAAAATAGTAGTTACATAAGGTTTTACATGTCACAATGACCTTGAACTACATACCCCAAATACAATAGTAGACTTCTTACTAACAATGGCAACCACTATACGATTTGTGAAGGCTAAAGGTAAAATTTAACCATAGTGAATAAGAAATGGGCTAATTCAAGTTAACATTGACCCTAAAATTTGACACAACGATCCGAGAAACACTTAGAAAGTGTAACAAAATCTGGGCAACCACCCTGTGAAGTTTAAAACTTAGTTGGTCAAATGGTTCACAAATGGTTCTTGCATGCAAACATTTTGTTCCACTGACATATTGTGAGAATGTCATCTGCAAATCAAAATACCCGCTCATCCTATGAAATGTGAGGGATGAGCATTAACATATACCTTTCTGCCAGGTGTTTGTCATATAGTTCCCCTTCATTACATAGATAAGCACCATACTCGTCCTTGGTTACTGTAACTAGGGCATCGTTGCCTAGCAACAAGGTTATCTTGGTAACAAAACCTGGCAACACAACATCTGATGCAATCCTGACCAGTGTTTGTACAGCATTTAATACGCTCTGTAATAAATCAAGCACAAATACAAATGAACATGTCAACGTCCCCGCGAGGGGTTTGACATTAATGGAAGATAGATAGATGAATTAAAAATTTCTTTTTTTCAAATACAGCTAAGATAAGGTGTCTTCTTTTTCAGCTTCATTTTATATTTATATTTTTGGTTGGGTTTCAACACCAAAACTGTTAAGGTCATTTAGCAACTCTCCAGCTTTCTTTGTGGAGGAAGACCTCAGATGTCCCTTAAGGAATAAACAGACATCCAAGCATACCCACTGACCTTCCATAAGCTAGCTGGAAAATTTCCCCATCAGAAAGAATGCAAAGTCCTAGGCAAGATTTGAAACTACAGCAGTGAGGGGCCAATGGTTTAAAGGCAGCAACCTTAACTAGTATGCCAGAAAGGTCCCAGTCTGTATTTCAATAATGCCAACGTCAAAAGTCAGTCATATGGCAACATTTCTCTTTGTAATGGTTATGATCCAAAGTGGTTCTTCATGCATGAATTATTTCAGACAAAAATTACACCTGATTAGAACAATTTTGACCTTTCTCACATGAAAAAACTGAAGGCTATAAGGTAACATTATAGATTCTACTGCGCTATAATAGTCATTTATCTATCAATGTATAAAATAACAGGGATTGAGAGATTCACTTACAGAAATTTATCACATACCCATGCTGATTTTGCGACTCGGTGCATATATTTTGATGTGACGTCATTTGCATTTTACAAACATAGTGTAAAGACACATAAATAACTTTATACAACTAGTTCAATAAATTCAGTATTGAACTTACAATCATTCAATATCCTCTATATCCATTATATCTAACAAAGAATATTAATTTACCTCTGTCAACTCTGTGTCTGAATCAACAATACTGAGACAAAAATCACAGTTACTTTTTACAAAACTTCTCGCATCAAGGTTCAAGGCAAACAAAATGTCCGTCCATCTATCTGGACTGTAGGACACTGAAATAAATAAACAAGATTCATTCTACACTTTATCAAATTATACACTTTATCTAATGTAACAAAATATCAATATATTAGATGAAAATTGTCATTCTCAACATGTATGTATTAAGATATTGTTAAATATAAGTTGATGTGCCTTAATCCATTAATAGATTTTTTTAAATGGTAACAAAATCTATCAATCAATATCCACAGCTTATGTTGGTAGTTTTTTTTATTATATACTTTATTTTCAAAAACGCACTGTGATTAATCCTCCATAGAAGTTTGAATAAAATAAGATATGACTGTTATTGATTGTTTATGATGTCACTATTCCTGCCAACCAACAGAATTATTCCCTAGCAATCAAACTGTTTCCCTAGTGACAGAAGTTTTACCCTACAAAATCCACACTTCTTAAACTATCATGAATCAATTTGGTATGAAATGACTAACCAATACAAGGATGGTGTGCAGTGACTAGTACAGATTTAGCAATGGCCACGGCATCCTTTACTTCTGGTTTTGGTACAGCACTGAGAGAAAAGATGGCAGCTGACAATATCCGTGGCGACACATACTTCATCTGTTCTAATACAGAATCTCTTTCTGTATCTTCACACTTCAACATGTCTACGTCAATCACCTAAAATAAACATAACATATACCGTATAAGTACTTATTTCTGCGGGCTTAATATTCTGCGATTTTTGTTAAAATAAGTGGTTTAAATTTCTGCGTATCTTATTTCTGCGATGTCATCATTCTCGCATTGATGTTTTTTATTTCTGCGTTTTAATTTAGGTATTTTTACAAAATTAACCGATACAAACAAACATCATTTCAAGATTTGTTTATGTAACATGTACGTTACTTCCGGTAAACATGCAGACGACTTATAATGTGTTTCATCGTAATCATCATGTATCGGTATATAAACGTTAATAAACAAATAAATCAACAGCGTTTTATGACAGCATTTAATTGTAATACTGCAAGTGTGAAAAATAAGCAATGGTAAAAAAAAAAGCACGTAGACACAAGATATTGTACAAATACAAAAGGGTATGTTTATTGCACCCGTCAAACTACAATAGTTTTATTTTCCAAAAAAAAATCGAGCTTATGGTGAGCGAAAATCATACAAACATGATATTTATTTAAACAAAAAGAACAAGTAAAGTAACTTTTTTTCTAACGATAAATAAAGAAAAAATCCCATCTACGAAAGACGATAACAGTACATGGTAATGTAATTATACAGTACTGATAGTTGACATGTTCCGACATAGGGTAAGACTTAATTTTCTGCAGTTTTTAAATCTGCAGTATCGTTATGAACCGCAGAAATAGCAGAAATAAAGTTCCCGCAGAAAAAAGTACTTATACGGTATTTTGTCAATTTTAAACAATTTCCTGTTAAAATTTATACTTAATTTGTTTAAATGGTTTAAAGAAATGAACATAATACTACATGTAAATGTCTTGGGAATTTCTAGACCTATTCTGGCATTGCTTCACAGATTTCCTTTGTTTAATGCTGATCAAGTTATGAAGTGTGTTATCGTATATATGTATATCTATAAAGAAATAAAGTGAACATATTTCCTTTAATTCGGGTAAAGCTGTCAGTTTGTGAACCTTGTCTGGTTTTATGAAAAGCACACAACCCTAAGTAGGGAACTATTTTCTGCTAAGCCTGAGCTATTTTCTTTCTCTTTGATTCTGATATATTTTTTCAGTAGTTTTTTTTCCTTTAAACTGAGTTAAAATGAAATATGCGCTACTTGGCAAATTAAGTCATCTATGTAGTATAGCCATTATGTATTCACATACATACCAAACATAAGACAATATCTGTCTTGATAACTGGAAAATGTAATGCAAGGATGAACAAACCTAACGCTTTAAGCTTCCCCAGAAATATATGTTCCAAGTGCATTATACAAACAATTTTATAACCAATGGAATATGTGATGCAAAGATGAACAAACCTAATGCTATTAGCTTCCTAAGAAATATATTTTCCAGGCATATTACAGAAACAGTTCCATAATTAGTATAGTGCATTAGTCACATTTTTACCTTTTGTGTTTGTAGGAACTCATCAAATACTTGTATCATAGAGAGAGCTATAGCTGTACCACCTAGCAAAGATAGTATTCTCTTCACACTGTTCATGGTGAACTTTCTTATACCATACGATTTCCTGGTTATACAGTATACTATAGCCTTGTAATAGGGTCTGTAATACAATAAAAACTTAAATTGTTAATATTGTACTCAATTACAATTACACCCAACATAGTAAGAAGATTTTTTACACCTACTTTATCACAAATAATTCTATAAAAGCATTTGTAGCACTTAGAAATACTTTATCATAAGTTATGCTATAAAACAATTTGTTACATTTACAAATATGTAAACTTTATGATAAGATATGCTATAAAAAATATTTGTTACAGTTAAAGAAAACTTTATCATAAGTTATGCTCATAAGTTATGATGTAAAAACATTTGTTGCACTTATAGAAATCTATCATCAAGGACAGTAAAGTCACTTTTCAATTTTTTTTACATCTGTTACAATTAAATATTGATACATTCATAGAAAATTGCAAAATCATTTAAGAAATAACTGAACTTTTACTCTATACATTATCTTATTAAATGCATTGCTTCTTTCTCAAGAATTCTATACTGCATATTACTATACTTTAAATTCTTAACAAAATATTTATTTTCCCCCATGTATTACAGATATGTTTTAATCTTACCTTGATATTTTTTCAGTCATTTTACTGGGAAACTCCAGAATGAGTTTTTCTGACAAACTGACAACACCTTCCAATGCTGAAGATTTAAATATAACAACATTATACATTCCTGTGTTTTAGGGGATAGGTGTGGGCTATTTGTAACATAGAATTTTACTTTTCTTACTTGGTAGTAAATACAAAATTTGCACAACAAAATTTGTACAATATTAACCCTAAGCCTGTTCGCATTAACTGATCCTAAATCAACCAGTGCTGACGAAGATAAAGTCTATCATGATCTAGCATTGATTACTTTTCAGTTGCTATTTCTTTTGGAATTTTCACTAAAAAATGATGAACGGTTTTGTTCAGATTGAAAGATAGGTGACTCCATTTCAGGTATTTAATGTGGTAATCGTTAAATATGACAATAACTTGATTACATCATTGATCACAGAAAGGTGTTTGCAAAGAAATATTCTTCATTGGCTAAACATTACATCAAAGCAGATTTGTAAATTAAACAAAATTTACATTTTATTATTTTTTTTTTTTATGTGTCAAAATCATACACAACTCTGGGATATACCTGTATGTTTGGGACATTATGGTCTATATATGATTGTAGTGCACTTAAGTGCCAAACTGCAATGGTAGCTTGTCAAGTAAAGTATACAAACAGAAGTTACCTGAATCTGTAACTGAGCTGAGATATTTCTCGTTGACTAGTATCTGTTTATCACAGTCCAATACCACATTCCACAAGGGACCGAGTTTACTCTCTGAAAATATAATATAGATCTATATTGTTTTCTGTGTTTAACGCCAATCTTAACATCTTAAAATCTCAGCAGACGCTCCACCTAACCAGCCATCCTGGATAACTAACCAGTAATGACAAATTTTGTAGCTTTGGCGCGAAGTCACATAACGTGGCTTTTGTCCGAAAAATTTGTTTATGTTATTATATGCTATGTCACTTTCTATGTATGTAAACATTCAGTGTTAATAAAGAAACAAACCGAACACAACACTTAGTTTTCTCATGATCTCGTCCTCACATTTTATGGTGCCGTGACCAGGACACGAACCTGGGTTGTCACGGCAAGTGAATGCCTACTAATCTCACATGATTTCTTAATCAGCGGTGAGATACAAATGACCATTTAGACTCGATGTTCTAGATCAATAGTTATAGAGTAATTACACCTTGCACAAGTATCGAACCAGTGACCCCCTGCATAACTTAACTAATGCTCTACCTATTGTCACATAAGATGGAGTAAAGATAGAATACAAAACAAAAGCAGTATTAAATGATTCATTCATTTATTTCATACCAATTGGTATAGAACTTCATTTTGTCAACTTGTATTATCAGCCATATTCAATTATCATACACTGTCAGTTGCCATTTCAAGCAAACAATTGGTCCCTTAGAACAAAGTTTATCCTATACCAATAACCAAGATCACTTTGTTTTCACCAATAAGAATGGTGTCAAAAGCTCAAGTTTTGTTTTGTTTTTTATGGACATTTTTAAATGTGGTCTGTCTATCTCTTCTTAATGTAGTCTATTCAACATGAGTGAATATCAGTCATATCAAACTATGCAAAAACTGTAACATTCATGTACAAAAAATTCTAGTGAAATTGTTTTGTTTGTTTATCTAGTTATCAAGCCATTTTTCTTATATTTTTTGTTGTTATATTTTGGCAGTTAGTCCTTACAAGCTTTCCTGGATAACAAGCCGGTAATCACCAATGTCTCCTCAATGAACCAACCACTTATCCCACATAATTTCTGAATCAACCCTGACAAATGGATGACAGTTAGTCAAGGTCAGAGATCATTTGTCATTTAGAAATTTCGCCTTGCCCAAGGATCGAACCATTGACCCCTGGATTACAAATTTGACTCTTTTTGTCGAGCTTAGCGGGCATGAAAGTGCAGTTACAGTTATATTCTCCCTAATTCAAGGAAAAATTCTAAAATATAATAATCAACATATGTTTTCCTATAGTTACTTCATACCTGCGTTAATATCCACCAATGAGAGTTTAATAAGAATATTTGCAGCAGACACAGCTTCTGTTACCAAGGCAACCTGTGTAGACTGGCTCACAGCTTTCTCTATAGACTGTAACAAGACTGGTATCATGTCAACACCTTGCATAAGTGTATCACCTAAAATTATAACAAACATTTCAATTTATTAATCCTACATACAATACTGGTTTGGGAGATAAACTCGGCCGAAAATCAGTGTTTTGGGGGCATATTTCATTTATTTGTTTACGTATTCTGATGAATCTTGCACCATAATAAACTTCAGCGCTTCGATTTTCCGGTATCACCATAAAAGTTATATTTAGAAACATAACGGGTAATTTTGAGAGGCCCTGGAAGAGTTCCGTAAAAAGGATATTTTAAACGCGTGCGAGTAGATAATTCCGGCTCTTTGTTTTTCTTCTTAAATGAGTAAGTTAAAACGTAAAATAACATGTTTAGACATTTTATTATTTCTTTGCTGTTCATTTATGTCAAATAAAAAATATTTGTTACCAAAATTGTTGAGCATTACGTTAGTATAATGAATATCTATGATAACACGATATTTATATGCAACGTAATATGTAACATATAAATCATTTTTTACGTAAAAACACATGCATTATCATTTATTAACGAAATGTGTAGTGAAAGAATTAGTGATTCAAATTTATTTTTGCTAAGCTAAACAGAGTGAAGAAGAAATTAATTTAGTGGTATTCAACCTACACATTAACATATAAAAGGAGAATTTAACATCAGTCTTTCAATCTATTCCACTTAAAGATTACAATTGTGTAATCAGCCTTTTTTCTGAGTTAGCAAGACAAAAGCGAGTCTGAATTTCATCTACAAAATGTATACGTAAACGTTGTCTGCTTTACCGGTAGTCGGTCAATATATAAAAGTACCCCTGTGCGGGCCTCAAAATGAGCATCTGCTGCACATGCGCACAACAATGGGATTCCCGTACTTTTTATAGGCATGCTTTGTAAAAGTCTGTGTTATTTTTTAAATATCTTACCAAACTTGACAAAATTTCCAGATATTGTCGAATTCCAGCGATAGTATGAGACGGTGAGCTTGATTAGATTAAAAATTACGATAACTCGATTTAATTATAAAAAGCCGAGTTTATCAACCAGCCGAAGTTATCTCCCCAACCAGTATAGAAATTTCTTCAAAATTGAACATTTGGTTTTCATAAAGGTCTAATTTTATCCCAATTTACATAATTCTATGATTAAATATACAAACTAGGCATACTAAACCTGGTACAAAGTTATGTCAAACTAAAATCTCAGGCATTTGATTGGTCAGAAACTAGCACAGAATGAAGATAGACCACTGAAAATCCTGAGATTTGAGACAAATCTCAGAAGGAAGTTTCATCACCTCGAGATCAGGCCACAAAATTATTAAACATTTTTTTCTGAGATATTTCGAATCTCAGGATTTTCATTGGTCAGTGCACTTTCATTGCCAGTTTCTGACCAATCAAATGCCTCAGATCTGAGTTTGAGTTAGAAAATTTCTTTATAACCTTGGTCCAAGTTGTCAAAAGGGTAGATAATATCTGCATTACTATTTTAACTAATCCACAAATAGTTTTTCCAAGATCAACCTACCATGAAAAGATGCATTCATACAAAGAATGTATGCATTTCTTACTGGTGATGTGGAAGATTTCAGTGTTATTCCTTTCTGAAAAACACAAAATATGTAAATATTATCATAAATAACAAGCTCAAGAATTTAATATCTCAGCATTTGTTGGTATTTTATTTTCTACTTTAGATGGCAGGGTGATATTTCAATACTATAGAATACAGCTTTTTGTCCTGTGCTATGTTTTGTTCAAGTATAAAAGAATCAGCAAGATGAAATTTGTCCATCAACAAACATTCCAACATTTCAAGGTTGTGAACTACAATGTATTTTCTTTCTTAATTGATGAACCTGTTGTTCTCTTCTGTTTTACTTATGCTTAAATATCTCCTTTACCTCAAATGCAGGTACACACAGGCGGGCAGGAGATTTTTTTTATTGTTTTTTGGGGTTGGTTTAATGTTGCACTAACAGTTAACACAGTAATGGTCATATGGCGACACTCCAGCTTCACTGGTGAAGGAAGACCTCAGGTGCCCCTGACGCAAACAAGTACTTGAGTAGAACCCTCGATGTTCTGTAAGCTTGCTGGATAGCTTTCTCACATGAAGAATCTTAAGTCAAATCTACAGCGGTGAGACGCAAGTGGTTTGAAGTCAACATCCGTAACCATTTGGCCTTGGATAATTTAAAAGCATAGCAAAAAATATTTTTGATAAAGCTATATCAGTCACAGTGTGAGAGCTAAACTGTGAGAAATATAGATTTTATTTCACAGGTAAAACCAGGTATTTCACTGGTAAGCATAAAATAACATGTATTACCTTGAACCACAACATCAGTTTGTCAGGTACCTGAGTGTAAAACTTACTGCACCACTGTGACATCATTGACAGTGCATGAATCAACGTACCTTCATGTACTGTAAAATAAAATCACCATCAATTAGACAAAACAAACAACTTTGTCTCTTATCACAAGGCAATATTGAAAGTATTTCTTAGGTCTTATTTAACTCTCATTTAATACTTTGTACTCATATATCATTTTATTCTTATAATAGTAATTATATTATCTCATAGCAATATTGAAAGTATTTCTTAGGTCTTATTCTCTCATTTAAATTTTTGTACAAAGATATCATATTATTCTTATTATACTATTTACGAATTTCTTTTAGTGATTAAAAATCTGGAAGTTGGTCAGCATAAAATAGAGCCTGACCAAAACTGCAAAGATGTCAACTCTAAATCTAATATTGTAATGGTCAATCAGTGCTGACAGTTACTAATTGCAAGACAATAAATACAGCCAATTATGCATAATGAAAATCTCATAAAAAACATGTAATTAAAGGGAAGTAACTGATAACTTACCTTCAGATGACAATACTGGAATAAAGAGTTCTACTATAGATGTACTAAGATTCTGCAGTGTGGGGGCGCCACTAACTGTATTCTTGCTCATGTTTCCTACAGCTTGTAGTACACTGACCTTCTGTTCTGTCAGGGATAATTTACCTTCTGATCCTGGGAAAAAACATCATTTATGTAACAGAATGAATAAAATACTTAATAATACTTCTATTATCCAAAAGAAAAAAATATAAGCAAATTTACTTTGAAATACAATAATTAACCTTCAGTCTGCTGGTAGAAACTAATTTTATGCATCTGTGACCAGTACGAATCAAGATGAACTGGTAGGACAAATCTATGCAGTCTTATTATGGTCTGCACTATTTGCTTATTAAGTCAGTACTTATTCTAGAAACAATTTGCTAAAATTATTGTTTTGGTCCATAAAAATGAAAAATGGACAAGTGAATCTAAGATATTGATCATGGAAAATATTAAAGTGAATTGGTCTATAATGGAAGATCTTTAATGAACAATGAACAATTACTCTGAAATTATTCTGTATTAGATATAACAACAAAACTACAAAGGAATATTTGGTATTTGTTGGCAAGTGCGAGACACATGATGGGATATTTCATATATTTATATATCAGATATATTTACAAATCAGACAATAAAACCTTCTAGAACAAAATATCAACATTCATCACATAAATGTTCATTTCTACATCACTTACATCTTTTATCAACAGTTTTTTAAGCAACATTTCATAAGAATATCTAAATGATACATTTCCATAACTTTTTTAGCAATATTTGAAATACTTTTGAAAAAATATGCCCATTGTAGACCAATCCACTTTAAACAAAAAAAGTTTTGTTTTTTTTTCATCCATAAGAAAGGAACATACCATTGAGTACAGCAAACAGATGTTTTGTAACTTTCTCTACAATCTCATGGTCACTACACTGGGTGGCAAGATTTAACATAGCACCGCATGCTTCTTCTCTCACTGAACTATCTTTTGACGTCAGCTGCACTGTAGTAAAACATATCAAATATTCATTCATACTTGTGTTAATTTCACTCACTTAATTTGTATAGCAGATTTGATAATACCTTTGATGCTGTTTCAATGCTGTATGTCACATGGCTCACTGTCAAATTATCATTTTGTAAATGTATATTTTTTATTTAACCAAACATTTCTTAAGAAAATAGAGTTGAAATTGACTGGGTAGGAACAATATCTAATTTGAAGAGAAACAGATGCTGATATTTCATATAAATATGTTGCATGTGAAACAAGAGCCTGGAAAAGTCTGATTGCTTATTAACTAACCTCCAAGTGGTTTCACAATCTCCATGGCATACTGACTGAGATCTAACTGTAGTCCTGCCAACATGTATCCAAATGCTGAAATACAAGATGTACAACTGTTTCATTAAAATAGAGATAAAAAATTCCACTTGTCCGCTCCTAAATTATAAAAAGAATTTCAAAGAACCAGATGCAAGAGAAAAATGTTGACTGCACATTGGATTTAGAAGCTACTAGTCCTGCAGGACGAGTGACTTTGAAAGCATTTTTCCATATCTGTAAAGCCGACAAACATGTATTGGTCTTTGTTAGAGCCTCAACTTCAATTTTATTCCCATATAAGCCATATTTAAATGCTCAGATTTATTTGATTCATACAGTGTCTAAGCATAGTAAAGAAAGTTGTCATTAAATTTTTGAATCTGAGAGGGTCCATTTTCACATCAGGGTCTTTCAACACATACAACAAAAAGTGTTTTCATAGTTTTGAAATGAACCAAAATGCAATTGAGACGGTACGGTAATTTTGCTCTACAGCCACTTCTTAATGACAATCATGAAAAAAATAATTCTAGAATTGATGGTAAAAGACAGAAGGTGCACATTTTATCATTTCAGACTCATTGCCTTATCAGAAACCATTAATGCTAATTTAGCTCACATTAGATCCTAAAGTATCCAATTTACAAGATGAGCATACCAAGAGGGGAAAGGGGGGGGGATATATATGATGAAAGAAACAAAGTTTGTTTGTTTGGTTTTAACACATTTTTTATCATTATCTCATGAGACAGCCCACTTGAGCAGATAACTAACCTTTAAACACAAATTTTCCCCCAAGTGACCTATTTCTAATCTTTCTTCTGAATCAGTGGTGAGAGAGACAAAAGACTGTAAGACTCAATGTCCAAGACCAATTGTCACAGAGAAATTCTACCTAACTTGTGGATCAAACCAACATCCCCTGGATGTTCTCATAATTGAGCCAAGAGGGCGGACAGAAGCAAACAATCTTTTCTATTCATAATTCTATAATAAATACAATTTGTAATTTACATTGGTATATCAGTACTGCCTTTCTCTAGCTTCTATACAAAATTCCTAAGTGTGATATAAACATAAGGTATGAAATAATGAAAGGTGTGGTCGGGTATTTCTAGAGTTTAGGGTAAGTACCTTGAAGAATGATTTCCGGGTTACGTAGAAGAGCTTTCTGTGTTGCTGGCCACACCTTGTCCTTGAATGTAGCGTGACTGCAGTGCCGTAATATGTCATCACTTGCCAGCTAAAATACGTAACACTTGTAAATTTCTTTCACAGATTGGCAGATTACACAAAGATACTCTCTTAAAACAGGGCAGACTATAAATCACATAACTCTTGCTTCAAAATTAAGTATAATATAATAGCAATTAATTTAAAGTTTGTGCCTAATATCAAGAAATTATTTCTCAACCCCAAGTAAATATGTCAATGTCTGTATATTTTTTTTAGTTGGGTTTCATGTCACTAAAACACTGTTAAGGTGATATGTTGACAGTCCAGCTCTACCAGTGAAGGAAGACCTCAGGTGCCTGTCTGTGCACTAACAGGCACATCCCTAAGCTAGCTGGATAACTTCTTACATGAAAAGATCCAAAGTCCCTGGTAGGATTCAAACTCACAGCGGTGAGGGGCAAGTGGTTTGAGGTAAACAAGTCAACACTGTACAAAAACTTATCCAAATCAGGAATCTTTATATGAAAGAAATCTCTGTTTCAGCAAATAAAATATATCTATTTGTACTGTAAGAAATATTAATATAAAGATTCAAAATAAGGAATGTTAAACATACAAGAACAGCAAGAGGTGGTCTACTGCGGCAGCCAATAACATGCTTCAAATAGGCCTCCAAAAATACTTCCTGAAAATTTAAACAACCATTAATTATTATTAAGTATTTACATTTTCAATGAATCATAAAATTAGGTAAAAACTACTACATGTGACAATATGTCAACAACCTGAGTAGCTTTCAAAATGAAGAGAATTAGCACCCCTAAAATGATCCAAACCAAGAACATAAATGGAAATGTGGAAATTCAGAAATCTTAATCATTCAGGCACCTTGCTATATTTTTTCCCCAAAAAATTATACATTTAAGTAATCAAGAACAAGTTTGGAAAAAAATTTACCTTTCGTGAATTCAGGACTTCTTCCATTTTACTAGAAAAGAGAAACTTCATGTGCATACTGATAAGGCAAATACTGTACATAGAGTGTTCCAAATTCTCCAGGAAAGCCCCATACTTCTCAACCACAGCAGGTCCCTGCAAATAGTAGATTAAATATACTAAAAGCAATGGACAGATAGTGTCAGACACTGAAAGTACATGTTTTAACATTATAGTCACCAAAAGCTCACTGTATTTTTATTTTCTTTTGTTGGTTGTTTTGTCACACCGAAACAGTATAGGTCATATGGCAACTTTCAAGCTTTACTAGTGGTGGAAGACCTCAGGTGCCCCTTTCTGCATTATAACATGCAAAAACAGGCTCCTGAGTAGCATGGATGGCCCAGCTCAATGTATACTTGAATAACTAAGTCAGTGATAAAACCAGCAATGAAAACTAGATCTCTAAAATGCATTAACATTGACAGTTCTGATACATCTTATATATACATGTTTTTTTATCTAAAAAGTGTTTAAAATGTATGTTCCTTAGCCCAGGTATTGTGGGTTCTGGCCCTATAGGGACAACCGTGTTTCCTGAAATGACACCAGTCCTGGTAAGTTCCAATCCTATAAGCTGGCTCTTGATAGTTTAAATAAGTGACATGCTTCCTTCACTATAAAGCTTAAATAATGTTTAAACTACTCAACAAATCTGAAACATTTTTCAAAATATCAATATTTATTTGCCTCGATAATGAAAGTTTTAAATTTATTTGAATCACGCCCATAACTTTCCATTACTGGTGTCATATATACATTATAAAAGAAACATACGATTTCCCCACTAGGGCTCAAAACCTAGATCCCTTGCATATGCCATAACTCAAAACCATGCATATGCCATAACTGAGTACTGCTTCCCGTATAATTTTACCTTTATTTCACACTAGCCGTTCACTCAGGCCACCAGCAGGTAAGATTTTAAACTTCTAGCTACTGAGTGAGCATTTTTCTCAATGAAATACTCTTAATCTAACAAGATATGTTTGTAAAACATGTATGCCCCCTATCAGCAGCCAATTAGTCATGTGATAAGGTTATTATGCATGACTTCTGACCCAGTTAAACAGTCAAACAATTAATAAGGGTTATCAAGTATCTACTGGTCATGACCTTAACCTTTGACCCCTTGACCCAAAACTCAATAGGGGTCATCTGCTGGTCACGACCAATCATCATACAAAGTTTGAAGTTCCTAGGCCTAGGCGTTTTTAGTAAATTGATCAGAAACCGTTTTTACCTACAAGGTCAATGTGACCTTGACCTTTGACCCCTTGACCCCAAAATCAATAGGGGTCATCTGCTGGTCATGACCAATCACCATGCCTAGGTTGAAGTTCCTAGGCCTAAGGGTTCTCTTATTATTGATCGGAAACCGTTTTAACATACAAGGTCAATGTGACCTTGACCTTTGACCCCAAAATCAATAGGGGTCATCTGCTGGTCATGACCAATCACCATGCCAAGTTTGAAGTTCCTAGGCCGAAGCGTTCTTTAGTTTTTGATCAGAAACCGTTTTTACTTACAAGGTCATTGTGACCTTGACCTTTGACCCCTTAATCCCAAAATCAATAGGAGTAATCTGCTGGTCATGACAAATCACCATACCAAGCTTGAAGTTCCTAGGCCTAAGTGTTCTTGAGTTATTGATCAGAAACCGTTTTTACTTACAAGGTCAATGTGACCTTGACGTTTGACCCCTTCACCTAAAACTCAATAGGGGTCATCTGCTGGTCATGACCAATCATCACACAAAGGTTGAAGTTCCTAGGCCTAAGCGTTTTTAGTTAATTGATCGGAAACCGTTTTTACCTACAAGGTCAATGTGACCTTGACCTTTGACCCCTTGACCCCAAAATCAATAGGTCATCTGCTGGTCATGACCAATCACCATACCAAGTTTGAAGTTCTAGGCATAAGGGTTCTTAAGTTATTGATCGGAAAGCATTTTTACCTACAAGGTCAATGTGACCTTGCCCTTTAACCCCTTAACCCAAAATCAATAGGGTCATCTGCTGGTCATGACCAATCACCATACCAAGTTTGAAGTTCCTAGGCCTAAGGGTTCTTTTGTTATTGATCGGAAACCGTTTTTACCTAAAAGGTCAATGTGACCTTGACCTTTGACCCCAAAATCAATAGGGGTCATCTACTGATCATGACCAATCACCATCTCAAGTTTGAAGTCCCTAGGCCTTAGGGTTCTTTCATTATTGATCGGAAACCGTTTTTACCTACAAGGTCAATGTGACCTTGACCTTTGACCCCTTAACCCCAAAATCAATAGGGGTCATCTGATTGGTCATAACCAATCACCATACCAAGTTTGAAGTTCCTAGGCCTTAAGGTTCTTTAGTTATTGATTGGAAACCGTTTTTACCTACAAGGTCAATGTGACCTTGACCTTTGACCCCAAAATCAATAGGGGTCATCTACTGATCATGACCAATCACCATACCAAGTTTGAAGTTCCTAGGCCTTAAGGTTCTTTAGTTATTGATCGGAAACTGTTTTTGCTTTCAAGGTCAATGTGACCTTGACCTTTGACCCCTTGACCCCAAAATCAATAGGGGTCATCTACTGGTCATGACCAATCACCATACCAAGTTTGAAGTTCCTAGGCCTTAAGGTTCTTTAGTTATTGATCGGAAACCGTTTTTGCTTTCAAGGTCAATGTGACCTTGAACTTTGACCCCTTGACCCCAAAATCAATAGGGGTCATCTACTGGTCATGACCAATCACCATCTCAAGTTTGAAGTCCCTAGGCCTAAGGGTTCTTTCATTATTGATCGGAAACCGTTTTTACCTACAAGGTCAATGTGACCTTGACCTTTGACCCCTTAACCCCAAAATCAATAGGGGTCATCTGATTGGTCATAACCAATCACCATACCAAGTTTGAAGTTCCTAGGCCTTAAGGTTCTTTAGTTATTGATTGGAAACCGTTTTTACCTACAAGGTCAATGTGACCGTGACCTTTGACCCCTTGACCCCAAAATCAATAGGGGTCATCTACTGATCATGACCAATCACCATACCAAGTTTGAAGTTCCTAGGCCTTAAGGTTCTTTAGTTATTGATCGGAAACCGTTTTTGCTTTCAAGGTCAATGTGACCTTGACCTTTGACCCCAAAATCAATAGGGGTCATCTACTGGTCATGACCAATCACCATACCAAGTTTGAAGTTCCTAGGCCTTAAGGTTCTTTAGTTATTGATCGGAAACCGTTTTTGCTTTCAAGGTCAATGTGACCTTGACCTTTGACCCCTTGACCCCAAAATCAATAGGGGTCATCTACTGGTCATGACCAATCACCATACCAAGTTTGAAGTTCCTAGGCCTAAGGGTTCTTTAGTTATCACTCGGAAACCATTTGGTCTACGGACCGACGGACCGACAAGTGCAAAGCAATATACCCCCTTTCTTCGAAATGGGGGCATAATAATACATAATATAAGTTTAAAGCAGGACCAGCCAGTAGTACAACAGTACCAGGGTGCCGGATAATTACCTGTTTCCAGACTGAGGTGAGATGTCTATATGCTGACTTAGTGATGGTGGTATTTTGTCCAGCTAGTACTCCATACACAATACCAAGCTGCACCTCAACCTGCGGAACAAAAATAAAATTCAATATCATAATCAATTGATTTTATAATTTTTCTTACATTTTTAAAATCTATTAGCTGAATCTAGTTTAAAATCATTCAACCAATACCTTATTACTTTCAACTTTTGATATTTAAAAACAAAGACAATTTATATATACTACAATAATATAGCTTTTATTTGTTGTCAGTATAATAGTGGTTGTCCTCTATTAACTTTTCTGTCACAATACAGTATACTGACTTTGTTTTAAGCAGACACTCAGTAGCATAATTTGCTGACTGCCAATAAAATACTGAATTTCAGGTATATTTATCAGGTACCAACAAGAAGCTGGAAGACCTGTCTTATCTTGGCCATGCATTAATTCTGTAGCTACTGGCAGTCTAAGGATTAAATTCATTACTCATATCAAAACTTTATTTATGTCATGAAATAAAACTTTAAGAGGTTTTTATAATAAAAATTAGTTTACCAGTCTTTTAAGCAGGTCATCTCCAACATCATTCTTGAATCCATATTTCAAACCAATACATGACCAGGAAAGGGCTACCAACGTGTCCCCAGCTGATGTCCGACTGCATTTATAAATAGAACTTTTAAGGTTACATTTGAAATAACACAAACAAGCAAATTCGTTGAATTTATATCCCCCGCCGAGTACTGGTTATTATTAACACAACAACTGAAGACATAAGGCTTTATTTATATATTAATCATGGCATAAACTGTAATATTCTTTGAACTTGAAGCCTTGTACTGTCAAACAAGAATTTTTTTAAAGTTTTCACTATATACATATAAGGAAAATCTATGACCCCCTGGAGTGGGGCCAATTTTGACCCCAGGGCTAAAATTTGAACAATTTTGGTAGAGGACCTATAGGTTATATCATATACCAAATATCAAAGCTCTAGGCCTTGTATTTTCAGACAAGATTTTTTAATTTTGCATTTTTGAAACTCCTTTTCTGGCCCTGTGACCTACTTATGCAACAGACCGGAACCATTTGATCAACTTTGGCAGGGGACCACCCTAGGATCATTCCTGTAAAGTTTGGTTGCTGTGCAGTCATTTGTTTCTGAGGAGATGTTGTTTAAAGAAATTGCTGATGACGCACGACAACGGACGGTGGGGGATCACAATAGCTCACCTAGATGTAAAAACATCTTAATCTCCAGACTTTATTGCCATATTCAAGGCATCTCACAATTTTCAAATATTTTTAAATGTTATTGTAACAAATCATTTTAATTCTTCTTTAATAAAAACTAGAAATGTGTCCATAGGACACGGGTGCCCCCACCGCGCCACTGTTCTGTCAATCTTATGACTCTAGGTCAAATATTTTTTGAAAACAAAAAATCTTTTTACTAAGTAAAGGGCAAGAACTTTACAAATACTGAATAAATCCCCAAGCAAACCCCAAGTTGAAAATTGCAAATTTATACTACTGTAATTCAAGGGCAATAACTCTAACAAAACTGAAAAAAAATCCACATGCAAAGTCCCAGGTTCATAGCTTCACAGTGAGGTGAATCATTATTCCTGTAATTTAGTGATGTTGATCATTATTCCTGTAAAGTTGGTCGATTCTAACACTCAAGGATCAAATAACAACATAATGAAACAGTTTTTACTAAGTCAAGGGAAATAACTCTACAAATACTGGATAAATCCACAAGCGAAACCCCAGGAACACACTAAATATGCTGAGCAACTTTCCAATAAGGTTTAATGACTCTATGTCAAATCCTTTTTGAGTTACATGCGACACATGTTGAAAACTGCAAACATTTTCTAAGTCAAGGGCAATAACTCTAAAAATACTAAATAAATCCAGACGAAAATACCCAGGTGCACAACTACACATGCTGATCAACATTCCTGTAAAGTTTCATGACTCTAGGTCAAATCCTTTTTGAGTTATGTGCGACACAAGTTGAAAATTACAAAATTTTACTAAGTCAAGGGCAATAACTCTAAAAATACTTATAATATCCAGACGAAAATACCCAGGTGCACAACTACACATGCTGATCAACATCCCTGTAAAGTTTCATGACTCTAGGTCAAATACTTTTTGAGTTACATGCGACACAAGTTGAAAATTACAAAATTTTACTAAGTCAAGGGCAATAACTCTAAAAATACTAAAAATATCCAGACGAAAATACCCAGGTGCACAACTACACATACTGATCAACATTCCTGTAAAGTTTCATGACTCTAGGTCAAATACTTTTTGAGTTACATGCAACACAAGTTGAAAATTACAAAATTTTACTAAGTCAAGGGCAATAACTCTAAAAATACTAAAAATATCCAGACGAAAATACCCAGGTGCACAACTTCACATGCTGATCAACATTCCCATAAAGTTTCGTTGAATTCCAGCCATTAGTTGCAGAGAACTACTCCGGAAATGAAAAAAAAATTTTTTACTAAGTCAAGGGCAATAACTCTAAAAATACTAAAAATATCCAGACTAAAATACCCAGGTGCACAACTTCACATGCTGATCAACATTCCCATAAAGTTTCGTTGAATTCCAGCCATTAGTTGCAGAGAACTACTCCGGAAACGAAAAAAAAATTTTTACTAAGTCAAGGGCAATAACTCTAAAAATACTAAAAATATCCAGACGAAAATACCCAGGTGCACAACTTCACATGCTGATCAACATTCCCATAAAGTTTCGTTGAATTCCAGCCATTAGTTGCAGAGAACTACTCCGGAAACGAAATTCGGACGGACGGACGGATGGACGGACGGACGGAAGGACGGACGGACAACGCCAAAACTATATCCCCCTCCCGATTTCATCGGCGGGGGATAATAAAACATGCCTCGATGTCAATGAAAGTATGTAAAATTTTCTATTGAATAAGTTCAGTCATTTAATGATATATACATTTTTTCCTCACCTTTGTGAACATGGACAGAGTCCTTAGAATGTTAGAATGCCATGTGACATTTATATAAAGTAGCCATGTCAACATTAAATAACTTTTGTTACTTTATTCATGTAAATGTATCATTATTGATACAAATAAAGTAATCTCTACTACAGAAAACAAAAAGATTCATAATTAACTGTTTAATTTCCTCAATTGTAATCTTTTTAAATCTACAACTGTAAACTTTAGAAATAAAAAATATGTGTGAATGCAGTTCTTTTTTAAGCCTTTAATCAACATGAAAAATCATCAAAAAAAATTAATAAATAAATAAAATATTAAGTATTTCATACATTCAAATAGTATTAATATCCTCATTACTAGTTTCTTCAATGCTGCATTGCTTTTTAACTTTACAAATCAATTTTAAAAAAAGATAACATTTTCACCTTGCATTGGCAATCTTTTTCTGTGATTCGGCATAAGTTCCCAGGCATGCTGCCAAGAGTTTGATAGATATAGCTGGATACTTTTCTACAGCAGCGGTTACAAGTCTACGAGCTGACCGTAATGAATGTGGATCTCTGTATACACATATTGTTGGGTATAAAAACTTGAAGATTCCTTTCAAGGCTTGCTCTGGCAAATCTGTTAATATATATCAGATATCATATTAAAATGTGTACACTATTAAATGTGGCTACCCATCAGGGATTATTTTGGCTTATTTTATAGCCGTTATTGGGTCATATTCCCAATTGAAACTAGTATATTATTTTCCCAATCTACAGGAAAATATTCCCAATTGAAAGTTACAAAAATAAAAATATTGAATAAAGAATCCTAATATCTTTGAAAATAAGGGCTTCTTCACTGTAATAGTGCTTATATGTCCTAGACAGTGATTGTTTTCACACAATTTAATCACTGCAAAATTTCGCTCATGCTTTCTTTCCCAATTTTTAACAAAATATTGCTGAAATTCCCAATTCCATGGGTATGGATTATGTTCCAAAAATCTTGGAAAAAATCCCTGCCTATAAATAACAATCATGATTAATCATGATAAACAGTGTTGTATTTTACATTCTTTCACCATATGATATTATAGGAAGCAGTGCTCTAATGATTGTGCTATAAGGACACTTACACATAGTTTCCCCAAAAAAGTGAACTGTTTTAGATTTTAACATACTCCCCTGCTTTATATAAAAATATATTTACGGGTTCGATCCTGGGTTACACCCTTGGGAATTTTCAAAGACACTTTCAGTTTCCCACCTAACTAGAGGTGTACTGGTAAGAAATCCAGGTAATCCTCGCATGTATCAGTGTTATACAATGGGCATGGAAAATAACCAATGGGTGTCTTTGATAAGAGCTTGGGACTGGTTCCCCGATATTCCCTTGTTTCTCATTAACATCTCTGAAGTGACTAGTCTAGAGTCATGTCTAAGTACCCGCGAGGGGTTTAACATTATTGGAAGATAGATATATATGCTTTTCTCTCGTTGATTCGTGACTCTTATTTGGAAAAATTGCACTTGCACAACAAATATCAGACATACATACACAGGGCTCATCCTGGGTGGAAATTTTAGGGAGAAGTGACTATCTCGCGAAAAATAGGGAGAAGGGAAACAACCCAATGTGTATGCATTAACATGCATGGCTAGACATCCTTTAACTATAATATTAACACAATCTATTTATCAGCTATTTATAAGCTTTCTCTAAATATTTGTTTATGTATTTTCAAGTAGATTTATTGATAATAATGTGTAAGAGAAAATATGATGTATAAACTAATTTTATATTATTACGTTCCTCACTTTTATTACATTGGATATTGATTAACAATATCTGTCTGTTCTGTTCTGATTACAGAAATTCTTTTATGTCCCTGTAGGTTGTAATGCCATATTTATGTGCATATAATTATGCTTATAAAACAATTTTCAAACATCGAAGAATATGTAAAATATGTACTGCAAACATTTGTGCACATTATATTTGATCACTAAAATAACATACATTCATTTGTTATTGAAAAATTTGACTGAGAAATTATAGAAAATAAATTTCTAATTACCTCCCTTTATTTTCATGAAATGTTAAACTCGTAATATCTTTATAAATAATGCTTTTTGATATTTACAATATTGATAAATCTTAATCTGAGCGTCATATGTATGACATTAAAACACATATCTATATTGAAACAATAAGAACACTTCTTTCCTGACAAATTTTGTTGTTATATACATGTACACATGATATACGACCGATATGTAGCATGCCGATCATGATTCGTTATTTTTCCGGGATGTCGTGCCCATGTGCGTAAGCTGTGTCAAATTTGGCATTTCTACAAAGATAACAATGCCAAACATCCTCATTGTCTACAATATACCAATCGTAAGATTTTGGCTTTCTTAAATTTTCGCGTAGATGTATCAGAATCAGTAACTTTCTTTTACTGCTAGTTTTGGGTATTTCGTAGCCATGACGTGAGCGACATAACAATTTTTAATTGATGTTAACGGACTGAAATCATTCAAAATATGATTAAGTTTTTAATCCAGTCGCTGATCATTAGTGAAATTGATTATTTTAAATTGACTAACAGTTTTGTGATAGCCGTGAAAAACCCATTGCACATCGCCTTTACTCGGATTAAACACCGCATGTATATCAATTAGGGAAGATTTGCACGTGTTTAGATGATCGGGAAAAAAATCTATAATTATCGCCTAATCCAATATTAAACTCGCAAAACTGTCACATAATTGTACCCGTTTCGGGCCCATGCTCTCATTATTTACTGATTAGAGTAGGCGGTATATCGCTTTGCATACAGGTAGACGGGTAGTAAAAAGCGACGCTCTGATTGGATAATGATAATTAGCAGTCGTCATATGGGCGGATACAATCTCTGTTCTTTACATCGCCAAGTAATTACTCTTTGGGAATTTAGATTTTATCGGCGATGTTGACTTCTCTTTGATCAATTGGGAGAGCGAAATGGAAATATACACGGCGAAGTTTTCGCCTGAATCGCCCTTCCGGATGAGCCCTGCATACAGTTCAATAAGTGCATTTGTTAAATAAATTCATTATCTAAAAGTTCAAAATTTTTAAATTACTTCTAAAAACAACCGCTCAAAGATTAGAGCATCTGATTCGTGAAATCCGATTCACCCTGTGACGTCATCAAAATATAGATGCTCACACCACTAAATGTTTGCATGGTTATTTTCAGTCCGATGTGATCAATATATGTTTCAAAGTCTTAACAATATATGTTTCAAAGTCTTAAGTAAATTTTAACAGCAAAATGAATATTTTTTTGGCTTAATTGTAAGTGTTTGATAAATTAAAACATCCATATCGAATATTTTAAAGTAATTAAGTCATCAGCTGATTGTAGAGTAGGCTCATTTACACCTGTTCAATTAAGCATTTTGATTGGATAGAATTGTCAAATTGAGAGTCTAATAAAACTTGTGTAGTTTTCTGATGGTGTATGTCCTTGCAGAAGTATTTATTCCAGACAATTATTTAGGTCACAAATCGATGAGAAGGCACTAATCAATGAGAATAAAGCATATATATATATATACTATATGTTTATTTCTAATGGGAACAGAAATGTGAATTGACTTAAGAGTTTAATAACACAGTTGCGATAAGTTGGGCGCCAAATGTCTGTGGATGAAAATTTTTTAGTCTGACCAGGACTTGAACCTGGGATCCTAAGAAGATCTTAACTCTGTACGGCTCTTCAGACTAAATATAGTTGCTGTAATTAGTAAACAGCTCTAGATTAGATATAAATCTATAAAAAAATATTTGGAAATAATTCATCAGAACATGTTAATGAATAATACACAAAGAAGAAAAATGACAGTGTAATTTCAGAAAAGAAGAATCTGATAATTCAATCTATTAAATTTTGAAATTGTGTTCAGGTTACTGCTGACAGATAGACGGATGTGGCATCATGTGGGTGGGGTACCTGTTTCTGCAACACATTTTGCGACACTTTCTACAACTTCGGTACGTTCTTTTGTGCTGGTAGATAAGACTTGCTTCGAAAATTTCTTCAGAAGTTCCGCAGTCTGAAAGGATAAATATGCAATTCATTGAAAATTTCGAGTAAAGCAAATGTGAAAGCAGAAAATCGACGCCGGATTGCCAGGAACTTACCGATGTGGACACATGGTCCGCCATGCTTGTTGTGCAATCAAAAGTAATGCACACAATGTTAATATTATTTTCATAAACCAACTATGAATAATTTATAATTCAATAAATTTCCATAGAAATTTGTTTACTTTATCATTTTCTGACTTCATTGTTTAATATTTATACATTTTATAATTTAAATACGATAATTAAATTAAACTTATGTGCATCAATTCAAGAGGACTTCAGCTACCTAATAGTGATACAAATTTCGCAATGATCTGAAATTGATATAAAACGTGAAGAGCGAATAAACCTATGTTAATCAAAATTTTAATTGTGCGTACAAAAGTTTTATTTGACTGACCCACTATGTTTTACTTAAATCAAATAATCATTTTGTTCTGGCCAGTGACATAATAGTCTAGCTGCACATCTACAAAGATTTCATGGGAGAAGTGGAGGTGAAAAAAATGTTATTTTTATAACATTATTCAATCGTTAAGATATCAAATTTGGCCCTACAATCTTTTTAGATAAGACCTTTACAGTAGGTAAGAGATATCACTGTAAATTTATCGAGATCTTAACAATTAAAATACTTACCCTACGAGATGTAGGTCCACTAAAAACGTCTTGGAATAGATCTTGCCTTCTTGGTATATATTTGCGATATAGATGTACCCTGAACAGACTAAAATTAATCAGGTTGCATAGCTCAATTGGTCAGAGTGCGAGACCTAGCTGTAGTCTTGACACTGTGGGTTCGATTCTCGGGCTGGCCAACTAAAATTACTAACCATGCAGTCTTTCGGATGAGACTATATTAAAGGTTTCGTACAGTGCTTGAACACTTGACACGCTAAAGAACTAGGAGAAGCTTCTGAGATTGGGGCATCTTTCTGAACTATCCTCCAAAATCTAAACTAACTAATACTGTTCTGGAGGACTCGCCCATATGGGCAGCGGTGGCAGGTACACGGTGATAGGGCGTTTACCACAACTTTTCCGCGCAACGTCAAAATATCATACTTCTGACCGTGACACCGTATATTTCTGGACAAAATATTAATGGCGGGATAACCACATTGCAGGTAATATTTTACAAAACATCTTCGTTACTGCTGGACATTGCAAAATTATTCCGATTGTTTAAGTACTCCATCGAATTTTTGAAACAATTTATCGTTAATCTAGCACAACACAATTCACAAAAAAATTACATACTTCGAAGAAATAGTGTTAACAAAAGATCGTGTCTACCTCAACATGACTCGTACTTGTCACAAAAACATGTGTTAAAACGACGATGTATTTGTTCTATGACCTTACGAGCTCGTGTATACATTATGGTTAGGCATGAATTCAAGTGCCATACAAAATTGTGTGTTTCTATTGTAAATTTTAGGGAATATATGTTGAAAAAAGGCCTATTGACTCGAATATTGGAGCACCGTACAACACTGAATTCAAACACCGCATTCTTTTTTCGTTTGACCGATATATACTGGAACCGTTTTCATTTGCACCATACTTTATAAGTAACTATTAATTGACCTGCTGTTATGTTATGTTGCTGTTATAATCATATGTTATTTTATGGAAAACTTCTGAAGGTCTGGTCTATGTAAATAATACCAGTTAGGTAAGTGCAATGGTATCTATATAGATACTTTTCGAACTTATTCATACGGAAAAAACCCACATGGAAAGATCATTCTTCGATGAGGTTACCAAGCATAGATAAAATTGTTTCCGTGAAGAAAAAATGTAACAATACATCTCCATATGGTCGTTACTGGACATCATGAGTTTCGGATAACCAATCAGAAAAAAAAAACATAATAAAATCACTTTACTGTGATGCAAGAGATAAAGCAAAGTGAATAAATTAAAAAATCAAGTGAAAAATATGATTCAGTTTAATAGTATATACATGTACAAGGTGGTGAACCGATGCAAACTTTGTGGTTCAGTGCACGATTAAAAAACACTGAAATCCAATTCATATCGGGTTTTCATAAAAAAAACTTTTAAAACACTCAGTAGAATTCATCTTATAATTTGCATCAACAATTAAATTCAAAAACATTCCTATAACCGATTTAATGTCAACCGATGAAACCTACAAAATAATTTTGGCAACATGCACGGCAGAATCATCTGAATCTGTTGGGAAATGATAATTGAAAGAAACACTTTCCACAACACAATGCTTGGTAACCTCATCGAAGAATGATCTTTCCATGTGGGGTTTATTCGTTTGAATAAGTTCGAAAAAAGAAAAGATATCGACTTACTTATCTATATAGATACCATTGCACTTATCTAACTAGAATTATTTACATAGACCAGACCTTCAGAAGTTTTCCATAAAATAACATATGATAACAGCAACATAACATAACAACAGGTCAATTAACAGTTACTTATAAAGTATGGTGCAAATGAAAACGGTTCCAGTATTTATCGGTCAAACGGAAAAAGAATGCGGTGTTTAAATTCAGTGTTGTACGGTGCTCCAATATTCGAGTCAATAGGCCCTTTTACAACATATATTCCCTAAAATTAACAATAGAAACACACAATTTTGTATGGAACTTGAATTTATGCCTAACCATAATGTATACACGAGCTCGTAAGGTCATAGAACAAATACATCGTCGTTTTAACACATGTTTTTGTGACAAGTACGAGTCATGTTGAGGTAGACACGATCTTTTGTAAACACTATTTCTTCGAAGAATGTAATTTTTTTGTGAATTGTGTTGTGCTGTAGATTAACGATAAATTGTTTCAAAAATTCGACGGAGTACTTAAACAATTGGAATAATTTTGCAACATCCAGCAGTAAGATATTTTGTTAGCTATTACCTGCAATTTGGTTATCCCGCCATTAATATTTTGTCCAGAAATATACGGTGTCACGGTCAGAAGTATGATATTTTGACGTTGCGCGGAAAAGTTGTGGTAAACGCCCTATCACAGTGGGGTATAAATAAACTCAAATACACACACAAAACTTAAAATTGATACGAGATGGGCATGTTAACAAATTAACATATCGATCATTATTAATTGTTTGTTCTGTTTCACGTGCACGGGCGATGTCATTTGATAATGAAATAAGCGGGACTGCCACTTCATTAAACTGTTTTTGCATATACATGTATATATATTGAATCTCTGAAGTGATTTTGTGCTGATCTCATTGTTTTGTCTTTCAAATCTTTCAATAACACCATGTCCATTATGTTAGTTACCATGCACTGCTGAGGAGGGAAAAAAAACACAATTATGTTTGCTGCATTTTCTGCCGAATAAATTTAGAAAATGCTTTTTTTCTCATTTCAAAAATGTAGATCTTTACATATACATATATTTTCTTAGGAATCTTTATCGTTGAAATTTATAGTTAACATCATAGTACTTAGTAAACGTTATACATGCTGTCATAGGCAAGATAAGAAAATACAATATCAATCATAAATAAATTGTGACTGTAAAATAAGAATAAAAATAAGAACAAAAAAGAAAACATTATGCCATTGCGATAAAACAGTTGTATATGAAACTCTTTATACACTGGCTGGGTGACATCTCGGGATGTTTCTGCAAAAAAATTGTGGCGGCCTAACGGCCTCGCCATTTTTTAGCAGAAACGTCCCTTGATGTCGACTCGTTTCATGTACTATAACTATTACTTATTTTGTTGGTACACCAATAACAGTCCGGCTATGATATAAATTTCTGCTCATATACTTGAGCCATGTGTGCATGTAAGGCCTGAAATAAATTTCTTTTCCTAAAATGGGTGTTACATTGCTTACGTTATAATTTATTATAGAATTGAAATAGATTCTTTTCGCAATTATCCCTGTCAGAAAAAAAAAGAAACAACAACAACGAAAAAAAACAAAAACAAAACAAAAAAACACACAAACAAAAAAACAAATTCAGACCATTTGGATAATTGTTCGTTTCGTTCGTTACAAAGGAATGATTTCATAAAAATAATTAATATGCAGAAAGTTCCTTCTTGTCTTCTTTGGTTTAAAGGGTTTAAAGGCACATTATGTCTCAGAAACGAAAAAAAAATATTTTCTTTAGAAAAAGCAAACATTAGTTTTATAATGTCAAAATTATGCTTTTGGAGCATGTTACACGTAGATGCTTATTACCTGATGTAAGTAGTACTGAAAGTGAAATTATTTCGTCACCTTAGTGTAGTAACTTAAATATAATAGGATTTAACCAGTTATTGCATTAAGGTGACAAATTGTCATGACAGACGCAAAATGTAAGCACAGTAGTATTTTGACTTCTAAATCACTTTAATTGTACTAACTACCAGAAAGCAACAGAAACATAAGATGATTAATGTAATTGGCCAATATATATTTTTTTTTGAAACTAAAACAGAATAAAAATGAAATAATTTCTGAAGCATATTGGACCTTTAAGGATTTAATGTAAGGGAAGACTTGGTCTCATTGTTGCGTCCTCCTATCATTATAAATTTTGAAACTTTATATTTTTATCTTATTTTAAATTTGCAATTGAATTATCTACCACGGTACAGGAAAGGAGGGGGTATTATAGGATGTGTAATCCGTCTGTGGGACCGAGTGTTATCATAACCTCTGATCCCCTTTTAAAAATTCCATTTGTTTGTTTAGTTGCCTATATTTTTTTTTCGTTTAGGCATACCTTGCCTTTTACTTGGAAACCATACACCGCTTTTCACGGAATGGCACAAACGTTACATTGAAAGTTCCAAGATAACCACAGTATGAGCCCTTCTGCGCATGTTTCTATATAAATTAAAAATTCTACCATTTTCATGTTTAAATGTGTCCGTGCTATATGGGGCGTGGGCGGTAAATTGCAATTACCATTACCTTTAATGAACAGGCTCAAACAAACCGAGCTTGCATTATTTACAATGATATTATGCCGTTTTAGGCATTCTTTAAAGATTCTATTTTTCTCTATTTTTGTTCTAACAATGAAAAAGGAACTACGTGACTATGGGAACAACAGGTAATATTAAAATTTCTATGGCACTTTTGATTGAATTAATTCTATTCATGAAAGACAATAATTGCATCCAGTAAGGAAATTTGCTATGTAAGAACAATGGGGGGGGTAGCCACTTCAAACTCTATTTGTTACAGTGGCCGTACAAAAATTTGCATTTTAAAGCAGCATGCCTCCAGATTCATGCTAATTTTCAGGAAAATTTTGAAAATGTTTTTAAAAGGAAAATATTGTGAAGTGAACAAAGAAAATAATTTTACACGTTGCAAACAGCTCTTGCAATCCACATAAATTACCAAAAATAGGTCAAAATTAGCAAAATTAGCCTTTATTGCGTTAGTAACGCTATAGAAATATGGTGAAAAATACCGTAAAATCCGCCCTTAATCGCGTATAACATTTAAATCATTACTTGAATCTTAAAACATTTTACTTTTCTTAAAATTTAAGCACAGTTCTCAAATTTAATTTTCTTTGAAAATTACGGCTCATCTGGAGTCATCCGGATTTAATTGTAATTTATTTTACATTCTACACCGATCTCTTCACGTGATAGGCATCTAACATACACTAAATTTAGAAGTAAAAGATTATTTATTTTTTTAAAAAAAAAAGGCTAGATTACATTGATCAATTACTGACAATTCAGCTATTTCATGTTCGCGACATAACATATTGCTTTGTCGATCATTTGAATTTTTTATTAAAATAACTGACCAGCATTTAATTCTGACTCACTCCATTAAAAAATGTAACATAGCCATTATGTGGCATTTTGTTCCATTGATCTGAAATATATACAGGTTTGTTTTCTGTGAGATATGAAGATGAAAAAAGTTTCAAATTGACCCAAACCACTCAGAATGCATTCCTTTCCTCCACTTCCCCACTTATGGGGGAAGGGAACGGTCATCAATGGCTTCAGCCGAGTTCCCGTGAGAGAACAGCCGTAACCCGCTTCGCGCTCAGAAAGGAATGCTCTGTCTCCTCATCGTGGGTTTGGGTCTCGTCAGTTTAACCTGACGTCCTGGCGACACTTACTATAGAAATGATCCCTAAGAGTAAGGTCTTAGCCAAATAGTTAAATTGTGCTGTATAAATACTAAGTTAAATTTTAATGCATACATGCCTTTGAATTACAATGTTATAATAATAAAAACATACTTATGTCGTAATTTGTTGACGACTTATTTCAGAAAAGTTACCTTCTTAAATGGAAGATATAAATATTTTAATGCCAAAAGTATTATGTAAATTTCTTAAAATGTTAGAATTAAATCATATTGGTTGAAAATATCTTTATTTTTTGTATGTAAGGGAGGTAATATAATACTAATTATATTTTTGTTGCATACCTTCTTTATATATCATTTTACATTTAATAATTATATGTATTCTACGCTGTTTCAACGCAAAGTGGTTTTATTAAATAGTTCAGGATTAAATCAACAAATAACGTCCTAATATTTACATTCTTTAACTTTATCACGGCTTTAATTACATTAAGCATAAAGTCATGCTGTGACTATAGTTTAAAGGGAGATAGAAGGTTGTTGTTCAACTACACTAGTAGCTAACTATCTCCCTTACTTAGTATGCCGTACATTCAGAAATATTTATAAAGAGTGTTTTAATATTCCCAGTCCAGCTGGTATTTTGAATATGTTTGTGTTTTATATTAAGATAGAATTGGATTTATGATTTTTATAAACATTTTTCTACCCAGTGGGTTATCTTCAAATTTCTACGCATCAGAATAGCAGTAGTCCACTTATCGAAATAATTTGTTACAATTAAAACATCTTTCTCTCTCAAAATCTCATAAAAATAGCATGAAAGGCTGATCAACTTTAAAGCACCAGAATTAGACCTCACTTTCATGAGCACGTGCTGTTAAAGGCGTGTGCACGTGTGCATTACATTGGCGCGCAATGTGAAAAATATAGCCATAAATTTAGTTGGGACTCATATCGCCGGATCCAATGGGTTCGCAACTTCGATCTCCAACTGACCTTTCAACTCAAATTGCGGATTTGTTTTTCTTGTCTTCGGAATCCAAGATCCTGTGTAATGGCACTTTACACAAACCAGTTGTTTCTAACAGGATGACATGACTCATCTTTCCTTAAAAGTCACTTAATGAAAACTATCATGCAATCAGAGACATAGATATGTCTATATCTATGTCTCTGATGCAATGCTATACGGGCTATTAGAGTAGAAACCGAGCACATATGATTTAGTGTAATTGCATTATTTAAATAACCTTTTGGTATTTTTTCTTCTTAACAGCACGGAGAGGTAGATCTAACTTACGCACGGAGAGGTAACTTAATTTAAGGATGGACAAACATGATCACTTATAACATTTACCATTGATTTGTTTCTGTTTGAACATGTGTAGAAAATCTTGATGAATTTCCTAATTTGTCTGTTCCGTTTTACTCCCTGATACGATCTTCCACTTTATCAAAATTTAAATGTAAATCATAACGGTTTCTTATTAGCACTTATTATATTATCTAACAAATATCTGCAGTTAAACATTAACCAGGTAGGGATCGAAAGCAGCCTCAGTACAGTTGGTAGCTCATTTTTTGTACTTTGATATTGAAATACCTAACATTTTACATGGACTGGTCCTAAATCCAAAAAGGGCAGACAAATCACACAAAAACTCATGTTAAGAGTAAAACTAGAATCCCAGTGTAAATTCGACATATTAAGTGGGTCGTGATAGCCAATCTTTAGTACCGACTATAAATTGAATACATGCATGAACAAAATTAATTTTTTTCTAATGCAAGCGGTCTAGGACGATTATATATAGCTTCATTTAGCATTAAATTAATTGATATCTTATCTTCTACGATGAGACCATTGATTTACGACCTCTTCTTTTATCATGAAAACTAACATGCGATGATACAATTAGAGGGACATGTAAAGTAGAAAAAACCTCACATTTGTAATACATTTTGACCAGTAAAATGATTAAAAAAAACTATGTGTTGGACAGGTGCAAGGCGCTTGTCCAGTGTTACAAACGAGTGACATCCGTGTATTATGTCAGGCACAAGTGTACTGGATAAGTACCCCTTACCTTCTGTAACGCAAGCTTGCTTCCTCAAAAAGAATTATAAGAGAAAAAGATATGTATTCAATAATGAAGATCACAGCACGTCCTCACAACTCTAGTTAGCATTAATTAATTTTGCTTCTACTACTTGTATAATTATACAGTTACATATTTATTTTCTTTATTTGGTCAGACATGAAATATATTGATGGGCGTTTATTTCTCACATATTATATAACAAGCCATGTCATACTAGTCGTTAAAGTGAACGCTTTACAATGTTTGTTTGTTTGTTGTTTTTTTCGCGGGGTTGGGGGGGGGGGGGGGTAAAGCTGATGTTTACTCATTTTTTGTCATATCTCGGCGGTTCGATCACCCTAACCGGTTTGCCAGGATAAGTAACAAGTGCAATAATTACCAATTTCTCCGCAAGTGACCGACTACTAATTCCACATGATGTTTTGAATCATCGGTGAGAGACAAATGACCATTAGGATCAATGTCCGGCCAGACATCGGCTGTCAAGGAGCAATGACGCCTTGTCCGAGGATCAAGCCAGAGACTCCCTTGATTACTGAGCTGAACGTGCGGACATAACGCTCTAAAATGAAATAAATGTTTAAAGCAGCATGCCTCAAGATTCATGCTAATTTTTATTAATATTTAAAAAATGTATTGAAAACTAAAATATTGTGAAGTGAACAAAGAAAGTAATTTATACATACAACCCGCTAAAATTGCTAGAAGAGGTCAAAACATGCAAAAACAGGCATTACTGCGTTAGTCAGGCATTAGAAATATGAATATAAATCCTGCAAAACCGGTTATTGATCGCACATAATGTACTTTATTACTAGAATCTTTTTACTTTACTAAAATCTTAGTATCTGGAGGCATGCAGTTTAAAAACAAGGTCAATACATGTCTTTCTTTGTTAAATAGGCATGCTGTATTCTCCAGACTGTAGCATTCTTTAGACAACAATCACCGTCATAAAGTATCCAACAAGAGGGTTCAGGATAGCCCTATGACAGCCAATCAGAGTCGATAATTTAACAAAATGGGTGCTGGGAAATCGCCATATCATAAATGCTCATCTAAAATATTTAATCAATTTGTGTACAAATAACAATAAAAATCTTTTTATTTTATATTTTTTTTATTCTTATTTTCTCATTATCATTGGTATATACCATTTGACATGATTATAAACAACATAACAAAAGCAAGGGACACAGTCCCTTATAAAATCATAAAATAGCACAAACTGGCTGATCCAATAAATCGAACTTTGACAAAATTCTGAAGAAGACAGGAGGCCGTAGGGTAATACATCGGTCTTCTGCAGGCCATACAGCGTTACACAGATGACGTCATCAATACATTCTCCCGCGTTCTTGGATAGAACGATGACAAAAGTTGGTTTGAAAAGGAACATAACCAAGAAATTCAAAAATCAAAACACATGATGATAAGATGAAATATTATAAGCGTGACTGAGGTAACTATAGAAACGAAATCATAACACTAAATCCAGCTATTTCATGTATACATTGCATATATAATACAAATGCTGTCCATATTACCCACTTTGCATTTTTTCACTTAATTATATACATAGGTTTCGTTGATATAAATATGCTGGCCTTTAAATGAGTTCACATCACATATGAGTGTTCTTATACAATAACACTTTCATTTAATCATAAATACTGTTCTAGATGCATCAAAGGCCCATTATTCTTCAGAAATGCCATCATTTTTATTTCTCAAAACCTTTTTATTTTTGGTATCTTGTTACGGTTTCCACAACATACTCATTTGCTATATAGATGAACTATTTTTGCTTCTTTTGCTTTGTTGGCAATTGCTATATTGATAGGGAATTAGTATTTTGTATGGTTGTCAATATACTACTTTCTTAACATTGTGCTACCTTTTAGGGCACATTATTGCAAATTCAGCGGTACTTTCTGCTTAAACATCTCATATGCTCTAAATCCATTATTAAAACATTATTAAATACATTTTTGTCGTTTCTGTTTCTTTAAAGATACAGATTTTTGAGGCATAATGTGCCTTTAATGATACACATCAAACAGAAATGATATCTTGCATAAAACGTTAGTGATAAATGCATACATGAACACAATTTCAACATTGTTAAAAAATCATCTTACATTTACCTACCTAATGCCATTATTTGTCAATTACACAATACAAAGAATTGCAATTTGGTGATAAAACATTCACAGTTAAAGGTAAAAATAATTTACAATCATACTTAATTAGCACTGTTTGACTGCTAGTACATTAATATACATATACACATACAAATAATATTCATCTTAATTTACTTATACAATTGTAACAATTTCATGATCTTTTTTTACTATTAAAAAAACCCTCATATTTTATACTCATCAATTATATATCACACATTTTTCCCTACAAAATTGCCTCATTACCATTATATGCTAATAGAAATATTTGATTAACAACCGTTTATAGCATAGCTAGCTAAATAAATCCCAGTATTATATCCAGTTTTCTAACATAAAACAATACAGGCTTTATATTCTAACAAGATGTTACAATATTCTTAACTATATATAAGCTTTGGTGTAACAGATTTTCATTACTATACAGCACATGTTGTTATCACAAAATCTAATCCTTAATATAGAACAAATAACCATGGTTACGCTCACCCTATACAATGTATATACTTGTAGATTGACACTCAGCAAATAAAATTTGTTCTTTCCTTACTCAGTTAAATTTACTCTTCACACAGTGTTTTTTATCAACCCTATTCAACAACTTATGGTATAGAGCCTGGTTATATTGTAACTCTGCCCAGGTTAGCCTGCATTTATTATAAAGAAATTATTCCTGCCAGATATCTCAGGTTCATAGTATATAAACTTTCAGATTAACAAAAAAAAAAGTTTTTATATTTACTGGCACAATAATCATAAAGTCTCAGTTTTGATTCCAAGATAAACCTAATTCTGTTATTCATGTTAATCTTCAATTTTACTTTCTGTATCTTATAACAGAATTAAAACAGACATTTATACAACATCCAGCCATACAGTAAACAGTAATACAACATACACCATATTTTAAACCTTCATAAAATTTATGCAGTGTACCATGAAAATATGGAAGAAAGAGGTATACAATTATGCACAGAACTATGTAAAAGTTGTCAAAAGTGACAAATGAGTTAAGCAATTTCTAAACTAGTTATCACATGAATTTGTAATTAATTTATTAATTAATTTTGAACTGCATTCAGCATTGAAAATACATGACATGTATGATTGGCCAGATGGCAAAATATTTAAATTTTGACCTTTAATATAAAACAAGTAATTGTATAAGATACAAGTAGTAAATATTTTATTCTATTTTTTTAACACATGTTATGTGATCTTAAAATTTTCACTTCTCATATTCACTATTACAGATCTTATTATTGATTAAAAAAAATCAATTTTTTAGGGGAGCACATACATAACGCCTCAAAAGAAAAAAAAACAACACCAAAAACAACTGTCAAAAATAAGGAAGAATCAATCTATGGCATAATGAACAATGACTGAAACGAAAGATTTTACAAATACTTAAAAAAAAAAAATTTCCTACAACATTGATGAATTATAACTCGTCTCTTTCATCATCTATTTCCTTGTCACCTTCCTCGCGAGCATGATGATCTCGGACACCTTTCTGTCTGATCTGTTCCTGCGTGTAATAAACCGGTTTGCTCCGATCATCGTTGTCTATATCATCATCTTCGCTCTCTTTCTTGACGAAGCCAAGTAACTCTAAAAGATTATTACAATCTTCACGAGATTTTTTATCTAAACTAATTTCCTGAAATATAAAAAGAAAGCAATCAATTATTATGTAAATCAGATAATTTTCATAATCTAATGAATTATGGCTCGTCTTTTTGCATGAAAGAGGAGACTGAGATACCAAGATGATAGCAGTTTACAATAAATTCGACAAAACTAGCACAAATTTTTACAAGGCTGGTGCTTCATATCTATATAACCTAATGGAATATAACCAAAAACAATAAACATTCAATATATATAACCCAATAAGATATAACCACTGTCAGGTCCAAAAGTCTAAAAAGACGAAATTTGAATTTCTTATGTAGATCAGCAAGGCAATGTAAACAGAAAAATATGCAAACGAGAAGTTTAAAATGGTCTAAATAATAAATTAAAAATCGTTCTAATGTGCTATTTTTAGCCAGATTTGAGTAAAAAGTGGTGCAACACTTTTCACTTTTGAGTCATTTTCCACACTTAGAATAAACACTCTGGAAAAACGTAGTGAGCGAATGATCTGAAATTTTGCACACAAGTTTTTTGTCTTTATATGTATACATCAAATGGAACATTAAACTCAAAAAAATATTTCCTGTGCCGTCATGTCAAAAAACCTCAGTGGAGACCCTTTAATGAATTGCCGAGTGGTTAACACATATCATACTTATAATCAAGGATTTCATAGCGGCATGTGTTCAAACTTTTTTAGACGCAAGCTGTTGTTTCTTTGAGTTATAAACTTTACACTCATTGCTCAGTAGTGGTTAGTTCCAGGAAAGATTATGATAAACCAAACTGTGTCTATAAGCTTATAGTTTCCTACACAATTGATTTGATCTTCCCAAAGTCAACAGGCTATTGGCTCTTCTCCAAAAGAAAAAAAAAACACACCTTAAATTGTACAAATTCAGCAGGTTACAGGTTTATAACAAGCAATTTGCTGAGGCCCACATGGAAGATCGGGAAACTGAATGTGTAAGCCTCGTTAAATAAAGTCGTTACTTTACTTTACTTTACTTTACTTTACTTTTACTTTTACTTTTACTTTTACTTTTACTTTTACTTTACTTTACTTTACTTTACTTTACTTTACTTTACTTTACTTTACTTTACTTTACTTTACTTTACTTTACTTTACTTTACTTATTTGAACAAAAATACTTACCTCTACAACTTCCTCATCTTTATTTACAAGCTGAAGGACAGGCGGAGCTCCGCCCTTTGGCTTAAAGTAAACATCGTGACTGAACATATGTTAAAGATCATACTGTTTATGATTCATAACTTTCATATACATTTTGAAGTAACACCTTCAATGTAGAGACACGAATAAGCAAAATTTGAAGCTGACAATGTCAATTTCTTTGTTTTTCAAAGATGAGCAAAACTATCTTTTTATGGAAACCATTGAATTATTGTTCAACAGTAGAACATAATGTTAAGAAGATTTATGGCAAAACAATAGTTATTAATATCAGTTACCCCTGGTGGAGGTATGTCCTATTACATTATGTACAGTAATTAATATTTTCTTTTTTTATTTGTTTCATTGTAATACAATAATTAAGCTCAATTGGCAATTTACAAGCTTCACTGACAGAAGGAAATTTTTTCCAAGAGCCTAACTATACATTACATCAGACACTTAACTGCACCTGAACACAATTATTGAACTGTACTCCGACTCAACATCTCTAGCCTAGCGAGACAGCTTGGATCTGGATCCATGCTGATCGCAAACCCATTATGTTGGTTTTGTCATGACGCGGCTCAAATATTATTTACATTCCCCTCTATTTGATATAATAGTTGTTTGTTTGAAAGGATACAACAGAGGGACGTCCTCATAAATGAACTTCTTAACCTCTGGTAAACGATTCAATCGTCATCCGGAGCAGCTCTGCAAATGAAATAAACTCAATCATATGAAATAGACCCGATCAATTCCAATAAACACAATCAATTCAAATAAACAATAGATATCAATAATGCAATTATAAGTAAAATTACGCTACATTATAATATTTGCAATTTTTTGCAAATTGAAATTCTTTGCAAATATTTGAGCATGGAAAAGTTATCGCCATTTTATGGAAAATCTCAATCATTTGTGAGTTGTGTTAAAATGTAACATTTGTAAACACTTTTTTTTTTCCATCTCTTATTGTGAAAATTTGTATAACTTTTATCAACCATCGAGCATGAATAAGCTAAATTGCCCTGGTCCTGAGAGCAAGTTCAATTTCATTGACTGCTAAATTGTTTGTTTTTATTGTTATTGTTTGTTAGACCCCACTTGTTAAAGTTTATCAATAACACAAAACAAGCAGGTCATTCATAAAACTAAACAATTATTTTCTCTGTGTGTCTGTGACCAGATTTCACAAATATAACACTTACATTCCTTAATTTTTAATAATTTAAAGTACATTTTAAATGGTAATTTTGAAGTGGGGTGGATCGTCACTAAAGTGGGACGAGTGGAACAGGATATAGTCCACAACTCATCAGTGGGGGCGGAATCGTTATTAATTCTCATCCATTCTCAATTTTCAAATAATTTAATTAATTTATAGCAAGAAACGAGTTATTTTTTTACTTTAATAAAGGCCCCTTCACAATTCCAAAATAAAATCATCACAACGTAAAGAAATTCCACTTACAACTGTATAAGAGATTTGACCATTGCATCAAAAATCAATGTTTCAAATCAAATTAAAAGTTTTAAATCAAATAAACAGAATTACATGTAAATATCACACATTCTCTCTCACAATTTCAAGAAAACTTGCGTTTGTTCCTCACAAATTAGAAAGCCATTAGTTCCTTCACAATTTAGGGAAATAAAGCCAATATATTGTGCTTTGATTTCATATAATGCCATTAAACATTGTTAAATGTATGACATGTCCGATTACTATACCATTTAATAGTAAAATGGAGACCAAACGCTTATTTCCGCGTGGCATTAAATTTTGCATTAATGGAAATATAAAATAGGGTTAAAATATACCTCAACAACTGCTTTGACGACGACCTGGTCCTTAATTGAATCACAAAATACAAAACTTGACAGTGCAAGCAACGTCAGCACACGAACAGCATCCATCTTGAAATGATAAACTTGTGCTCAATATTGATCGATATTTGCCACGTTTGGTGCGTTTACCGAATGCGGGCATGTGTAGCAATTTAATTGGTTGGCTGCTTGTTGGCTCTTAATGCCTAATTTATCGCTCAGCGCATTACACATAAATGTCTTAAAATATATATTAATTTTACTTCATAAATTCTTAGCTAAAATTTTACGTCAACTGACTTATTTTCATAATAATTAAATACATGTGCATTAATAAAAGATCCTGTAACTCATTTTTTATGGTTTTATATCATAAACTAAATATAATGCTCAAATGAAGATTTATGAATACGGTAAGTTCCAAAAAAAACCTTATTTGTAAAGATATTACCAAATTTACATTTCATGTTAATTAAGGGAGGTAATTAGAAATTAATGTTCTATAAATTCTAAGTCAAATTTTCCAATAAGAAATGAATGCATATAATTTATTGATTTAATATAATGTGCACAAATGTTTGCAGTACATATTTTACATATTGTTCGATGTTTTAAAATTGTTTTAAAATTGTTTTACATATATAATTTTTTGCAAATGTAGTATACACACAGTAACAATATCAATCACAAAACATACAGGATCTTTAAATACATATATAAAACTTTACTTAAGTGTTACATCCATAATTACAACAAAGAATAAAGAACATTAATTTTTGTCTCTACCAATTTTTATTCAGATACAGGTATTATTTTACACTTACAGTTAAATACTGGTTACTAAAAATATGATTACAATAAACAGTGATAAATAAAAAAAAAATAATTTTAAGCTTTAACATGATATCATGCACCTAAAATGTTAAAACTGCTGATTTTGAAATTCACTTATTTATATTCATGAATAAGCCTTATATTCCCAAAGTTTTTTTTCTTACAGCAGCTTAACAATGGATGCCCCCTGTCACTTGATATGCAATTATCTAATAAACCATTTAGGTGTCACCTTCCCTGACCAGCCTGGTCATATGGTCTAGTGCACTAGAAGTGCACACGGTGTGCACTTCTAGTTCAGCTCTAGTGCACTAGAAGTGCACAAGGGTGGGAAGTTTAGTGTGAACTCAACTGTATATATATATATTCGTTATAATGTAACACATATAACCTGGGACAGAATATAATTAAACGTTGCTCTGTCCCAGCTATAACAAAAATATTCTATGACTATATATAAAGTAAATTTACCAGCGTAAAATATTTTCTGACTTTTTTTTATGAAAATGAATATGATAAAAAAGCTTTCTGCAATGTTCAGGCACATGTGTTGAAATAAGGAACAAAGTTACACGTTTAATGCTTTTGCTTGTGAGTGCACGTGATTTCCGTGCATTGTATATGCATATGTAGAGAATAAATATATCATAACATCAATCGGCCAATCGCAAATCCAACAGTTTAGATATGTTAAACCTCTGATTTGTATTATAACATATCAATGTTTACCTCTATATTTCCACATATTTCTAGCTTCTGTGTACAGTGTAACCATGCATCAGATTAAATTTGAAATGCATCGTTATTGAAAATGCGAGAAAATAATTGTAACTCCTTTGAAATTTATCTGTAATAGTGGTCAGGTTCTTTTGAGCATCAAATTCGTTTAACTTTAATTGCCAATAACCGCTAGCTAGGTCTAATAAATGATAATAATGGCTATTTGCTGGGCGATCTAGTGTCTGATCAATTCTAGGAAGAGGGTATGCATCAAATATTGTTACGGAATTTAAAGCTCGTAAATCAACAGTAAATCGTATAGTGGTTAGTACTTCGCGTTGTGGCCGCGACAACCCAGGTTCGAATCCTGGTCACGGCACCAATGTAATAGTGGTCAGGTTCTAATGAGAATCAATGATTTACACGGAGACCAAACGATTACAAATTATAACTGGAGTAATATTCCCAGGGCTCAGTAGACTTATATAAGTGTCTCTATATTAAGGTGATGGACTAAACAACAACAACAATTAAAAACATTTCCACTCAATGCTTTTAATATATGAATAACCCTAAAATTTTTAATAATTATACTTATCAAATGATATTTAGTTTTATATTAAAAATAACTCTACTTATTATTTAATTAAGATTATATTTATGATATTTTTATATGTGGTCGATTATATAATAAACGTAAATGTTTGTGTTTAGGACTAAGTCCAGTTTAATGTTTCAAGGCTAAGACTTGTAGTATTGTCCAACAATATTGACCTGGCACTTCATTAATTTCCGTAAAGGTCAGGTGATAAACAGTGGTATCTAACGAATATATCGATATCTCTATTAACTTCACACGTCAATGAATTGTGGTGTATTGGTATAGATGCCTGACTACTGATCTCAAATTCTCTGGTTCGATACCTTACCAACACCACGTTTTGAAATTAACTTGCAAGAATTAATTTGAAATCGTTTTACTACATCTTGTTTTTAGGATACCTTTTAAGTAGTGTTTTTATACAATTTTATTTTTTATTTCATTACATTATCTTTAATTAATAAAAATGACAGCACGTCCATAATACAAATTAAATTCATACACAACCAAAACTCAAAACGTTTTGCACGAGTTAAGAGAGAAATAGCAATTTTAAAATAAGAAAAAAAATATATAAAAGTGACTGAACTACGAGTGTGCGTCTATATTCTTGAAGTGAAAGCACTTTACGACTGTGCTAAGAAGGATTTGTAATTTAGATCATTTAACATTCATATCGATTTACAATAGATAACGTTTACGGAATTTACCGACTATGGGGTCAAATGCAAGAGTGCCAGGTCAATGTTGTTTGACAATACTGACCAGAGTAGGTACAGTACCTAACATCGCTAACATTGCCAATGTCAGCTTATTTATACTTTTTAGTATGTATTCACTGCAACAATTTGATTGGTTGACAATAATATTGTATATACCATGCAATAAGAATGAAAGATAGTAACTCATAACTTATAGATAAACTGTTAACTTAGATTACCGTAAGATCATCCTATTACATTCAATAATAAAGGGTGAATAAAGGATTTGGCAGGTTCTGAATCTTTATTTATTTTTGTTGGCACAACATGTATCTTAGACGAATTCAATAGACAATCAACTTTCTAGTTAACCACAATTTACAAAGTGTTTACATCAAACGCACTGTTCTCACTCTCTCCAGTGTGCTGTTAATTCTTAATAATAATAATAATAATAATAATAATCCATAAATTAAAAAAAATAAAAGACTGTTCCTCAACTGTGATCAAACTGGCGGGAAATCACACTGGTCCAGGGGAAACAACTCTCTAAAGGTTTTTATGACAGATGATGTCCCTGTTACCACCGTAGGGAACGTGTTACAGTATCGCGTATTTCGGTTACAGGATGGAGGATTATTTATGGGAAGAGATGTAGGTGATTTTTATTCAGGTCCATACTACTAGTAGTTAAGTTTCTAAAAGATGTTTTTGTGCTTTGCTTGTAAGGAACAGAATCCGGTATCTAGTCATATATTTCTTTAAAGTATTAGACGTATAACTGACACTTTTTCCAAAGGCGTTTAACACTTTATATTATTAAACTTGACTATATTCAGGACATAAATACAAAAAAATTACAAAAGTTTACCATCTTGCTTGAAAAAATATTGACAATTAAACTTCAACTATACAACAACAACATTATCTGATTTATTTAATATTTTTCCGACTTGAAAAGTGAAAATAAAGAACTATAGTTTTTGAATAAGAACAAATGCGCATCCGCGCAGTCTGATCAGGATCCATGCTGTTCGCCATCAGTTTCTCTACTTGTAATACGGTTGGTAAGCGAACATCATGGATCCCGATCAGACTGCGCGGATGCGCAGGCTGGTCTGAATCCATGCTGGTTGCAAACCCATTATGTTGGTTTTGTCATTATGTTTTATACACAGTGCACTCTAAATATTCCCATTCTTTTCAATCATGGGTTACTTTGGTCTTGTATCGAATTAGATCTCTTAATGAATTTCATATTGTATTCAGTATTCCTAATTACGTGCAAGGTCCGGATTGACTTAATGTATTTAACAATGTCTTCCCGAGTCGTCCCTGGTATCTCATAAAACAATAAATTCACGGTTATCTCCTTCAGGGCGTTTGCAATACTGCGGATAAAACAACGAAATGATTCATTGCTCAGAGTAACATGGGACATTTCAATTTCCACATCTTCCCCTTCTGGATCTACAGAAAGTATATGGTCACCAAAGTTCATTTTTAAAATATATAGGTACTTGAGCTTCTGTAGTGAGTAAATCATTCTAACCAATGCTCCAATTGTATCATCATCAGTAATGTTACTGACAAAAAATTTCTTCAAGACTGGTGCACAGGTCAAATCGTCCAAAAGAGGTTTTGACCAGGGAGCAGGCTCACCTTTTTCTGTATTGTTTAACCTAAGCCTATACAACTCTTCAACATTTACCAACACGTTTTTAATGTTTATGCCACCAATGCCTAACAAGAAAATTTTCGTGTGATTCCGCAGGTCAAGATTTCCAAGAATACATTTATCACCATCGTCTTCACATTCAACACAATCCAGTCCAATTTGAGACATGTCATGTTTCTCAGAGACGAATCTTATTAGTTCAACAAGATGGCCGTGTCTGATTTTGACGTCATGGAAGTACAGTGATGTCAAATTCTCACACGTATGGAACGGTATGTCCGAAATTTGATGGCAGTAACTAACAGACAGATTTTTCAATGTGCCTTTGGATAACTCAATCAATTGATTGTAATGCTGAAACTCTGAACCTGAGTTAATGAATCTTACTTCAAGTCTTACGAGCTCCGACAGCACTGGTGTGATTTCTATTTCCGTAATTCCGGCTGCAAACATTGATTTTATGGTTCTCTTGTTTGACCGAAGCAATTTCCAAATTATTGGTGCATTTCTTTTATAAATGAATACATCCTCTAAGTTCATATTGATACTTTCCCCACCAGATCGCTTGCACTCTTCAAAACATTTCTCAGCTAGGTCTTGTACGGTTTGCACATCATATTC